AGGCTTAGCATCCATTTTTGGTTGGAAGCTTACCCAAATGGATGTTACTAATGCCTTCTTACATGGTACATTAGATGAGGAGATTTATATGAGCTTACCTTTGGGTTACACGCCTGCATCTAATGCCCCATTGCCTCCTAATGCTGTTTGTTGGCTACATAAGAGTCTCTATGGCTTGAAACAAGCTTCTCGGAGATGGTACCATTGTTTCTCTTCTGTGGCCTTAAAGGCTGGATTTGTTCAGTCTCCAAGTGACAATACTCTGTTTGTCAAGCAATCTGGTTCATCATTCATTGCTCTCCTTGTATATGGTGATGACATTATGATTGCATCAAACTGTGATGTTGAATTACAGGCTCTCAAGGATGCTCTCCATGCTGCTTTCAAGATTAAAGATATGGGACCACCAAAATACTTTCTTGGTCTTGAAATAGCAAGGAACTCTAGTGGCATTTCTATTTCTCAAAGGAAATATGCATTGGACATTATTGAGACAACTGGGATGCTAGCATGTAAACCTTCTTCTGTTCCTATGGACCCAACAGTTCATCTCAGCAAGGAAGCAAGTACATTGTTAGATAATCCCACTTCTTATAGAGAACTAATTGGCCGTCTTCTCTATCTCACTATCACCAGGCCAGACATTACCTATGCTGTCCACAACTTGAGCCAATTTTTGTCTTGCCCTACGGATGCTCATATGGAGGCTGATATGCGTATCCTCAGTTACTTAAAGACAAATCCGGGAGAAGGCTTATTCTATGCGGCTGATTCAGAACTCTGTCTCAACGCTTTTGCGGATGAAAGTTATGCTAATTGCCCAGATTCAAGATGTTCTATCACTGGTTTCTGTGTTTATCTAGGAAAGTCACTGATTCATTGGAAATCCAAGAAACAGCAGACAGTGAGCCGCAACAGTACTGAAGCAGAGTACAGAAGCATGGCATTAGCTACCTGTGAATTGTTATAGATGGCTCAGCTTCTCAAGGATTTGAAGGTCACAGTGATTACAAGTCCAAAGCTCTTCTGTGACAGCAAATCCGCAATTCACATTGCTACCAATCCGGTCTTCCATGAGAGGACGAAACATATTGAGATCGACTGCCACACCATAAGGGATCAAGTTAAGAATGGATTTATGAAACTATTCCATGTTTCAAGCTCTAATTAGCATGCTGATATCTTGACAAAGCCATTACAGCCTGGTCCTTTCCATTTGATACTCAACAGGATGTCAATATCAAGTCTCTTCTCTCCTCCATCTGGTTCAGTTTCAAAGACTTGAGGGGGGGGGGGATATTAGACTATAGTTAGATAAATTAATCGGTTGTATTTAGAATAGACTAAGTATCCTTTTGCTTAGTTTACATATAAATACTGATGTAAGTCACTCATTAACACTTAATGAGAAAGTTTACATTTACATATTCAACACTCTTGATCGGTTGTATTTAGAATAGACTAAGTTTCCTTTTGCTTAGTTTACATATAAATACTGATGTAAGTCACTCATTAACACTTAATGAGAAAGTTTACATTTACATATTCAACAGTAGTCATAACTTATGACGACTAGAGTGATTAGAAGATTACTCTTTAAATCTGACAAACAATCCAGTCTATGGTATGAAGTATAAAATGTGAGATTACTATAAAAAATCCAGTCTACGGTATGAAGTATAAAATATAACTCATTGCTTTTATTTAATAATTTTATTTTTGTATTTTATTTTTTTCTTAGTTTAGTTATGTTATAAAATAAATTAAAAAAAAGATCATATAAATATTTTGGGGAAATATTTGAGAAAAATGTGGAAAATAAAAAATGGTATTAAATTTATTAGGGAGAGATTTTAGAAATTTTTTTTAAAATTTTTTATTTATTAGTTTCAAAAGTTTAACTAAATAATAAATTCTAGTGGCATTCTTTGTAAATAGTTTCAAAGTCAAAAAATTATTTCAAAAGGTGCTGCAAAAATGTTATATAGACTAGATTTTAACCCGCGGTACACCGCGGGGCAAACGTTTTTTCTAATTTTTATTTTATAGTATTGACATATTAACGTATGAATATTTTATCTGTTTTGACATATGAAATTAGTGAGATTTTAACTTTATAGTATTATCAATTCAAACTTGTCCCATCGTATAATTTTTATAAGCATATTACAATCCATCCCGTCTTTTATCTCGTCGAGTCATATAATCGTCAAAATTTAATTCAGTTTATTATGACAAGGTCAAGAATACTATCTTTTATAATGATTTTTAGAAACGGATGATTAGGTAATCGAATCTTCGGTGAGCAAAGAGAATTTGTTCTGAAAAATTAAAATTATAGAAATCATTAAATAATTGAAGGCTATAAGTGAAAAATATGCTTTTCAATGTTAGTCTAAACTCTAAAGTAAAGGAAATTTTGTTATTTGTTCCAATTATGCCGCTAATCACATACTAACACAATTAATTGAGACGATTATATATTAAAACAATATAAACAAATTGAAAGATTTTGGAAATAAGTTTTTAAGAATGTGCTTGAATAAAGCAGCTAAATAAGCGTAACAACTAACAATTATGATCGAATATATAACTTTCGATCAATTAATATTTTTTTAGAAAATTATAATTTCTGATTTTATAAGATTTTGTATTTAAAGCAGTGGCAAAGCTTGTAAATAAGTTTAAACCCCATGATTTATTTCATAAGTTGCTGCAAAAATGTTAATATAAATAGATATAATTTGTTTGATTTAATGCAATTGATTAGTTTCTATTGTTGATTTTGTATTTAGAGAGAGATTTGGGGGAACCTTTCAAATAAAATAATATGTTCATCATAAATATGGTTTCCGTTTTTAGTGCAAAAATCATCATAAATATGGTTATTAATACCGCAAAATCATTTCGAAAATCTCAGAATATTCAGCTCGCAAATCATCTAATTTTTAGGGATCCTATAAGTTAAATTTGTTGAATAATCGTGGAAACAAATTTTAGAAATATTAGAGAATAGTTATTTAAAGCCAATGGCAGGACCTTGTAAATAAGTGAGCTAAGTGAGGGTTTTTTCATAACTGTCTTTAAAAATGTTAATATAGATATCTGAAGTTCTGAAAAAGCATGCTTATAAAAGTGGATTTTCACGTTAAAATGGAAAACCAATGGGTTTTCTCGTTAAAATGGAAAACCAATGGTGTATTGACATGTACAAAGCTAGGCTTGTAGTGCAAGGATTTCGGCAAAAAGAAGGTTAAGATACTTCTTTGGTACTTATTCTCCGGTAACATAATAACTTCAATCTGGATGCTCATAACCATTGCAGCCATGCAAAATCTTGAAATCCATCAAATGGATGTAAAAACTGCATTTCTAGATGGAGATTTGGAAAATGAAATATACATGAAACAACTTGTTCCATGAAAAAAATACAAATTGTGTAAACTTGTGAAGTCAATATATGAACTCACACAGGTTCCTAAGCAGTGGCATGATAAGTTTGATTGTGTGATGATGTCTATCGGTTTTAGCATTAATGAATGCCACAAATGCATATATTTCAAAAATACTCCAACATGATACATTTTTATGCTTATATCTATACGTAGATGATATGCTCATTACTGGGAGCATCAAAAACATCATAAATCAAACGAAAAAATATGCTCAAAATGTATTTTTACATGTAAAACTTGGATCTAGCATACGTTATTTTGGGGATAAAAATCATAAGAATTGATGAGGACCTCATCTTTTCTCAAACCCACTATGCTGAAAAGATACTTGATCAATTTAAGCATTACTCAAATGGGACTGCAAAAACTCGAATGGATCCTCACTTCACTTGACAAAAATATTCTGGTGAACATGTGCAACGGGTGGAGTATGCAAGAGTAATTGGCATTCTAATGTACTTGACAAACAGTAGAAGACCAAATTTAGCGCACTTTGTAACTGTACTTAGTCGCTGCAAAAGCAATCCACGACATAAATATTGAAAGACTATAACTCGAGTTTGATCTATCTACGTTATACCAAAGATCATGGCTTGCACTATTGTAGAAACCCTGCAGTTTTGGAAGGTTACAATGATGCCAACTAGATCGTAGACTCCAAAAACTCAAAACACACAAGTGGATACGTTTTTACACTTGGAGGTGGAGTAATGTCCTAGAATCTCCCAAACAACTCTGGCAGCTAAATCAACGATGCAATCTGAATTCATACCATTGGATATAGTTGCGGCGGAAGCTAAATGGCTTCGTAATTTCTTGGAAGTTATCCAATGTTGGGGAAACATGTGCCTGCAATAAATGTACACTATGAAAGCAAATCAGCTACAGACAGGGCAAAAAATACCCTATATAATGGTAAACAAGTTTCTGAAATTGCATCTTTTTGAAAATGGATTTTCGGCCACTTTCCGGCCAAATTTTAGTTAAATGGTTGAACGGAATTGCCGAGCTGATAGTGCAATGAAAATCTGGTAACGAGTACTACAAAATGGTATACTCATATGTCAAAAACAAAGTTCATTTGAATGAAAAATAAGGGTGTGAAGTGAGCCACTTATATATGGTTGCACTCTCATCTAGTTTCAAAAGTGTCTAGAAGAGTGAGGGAAGGTTCCCACACGCGCGCCAAACCGAGCTGGATCAAGCGAGGATAGTCAGGCCGTCGGACTCTTGGGAATTCTCGCCTCGCCGAGTATTTTTTGGATCGTTGATACTTGATAGAGCCATTTTTTTTTTGTTAAAGACTTGGGGTTCACTCCAAGGAACTTGCGCAATACTCTAAGAATATTATCCAGAAGTCCTAACTCCTTTTATATTTATTATAAGTAACCAAAAATATAGATAAATTCGAATTAATTTAATACTTTCAATACACTTTAAGGTTAATAGATTTGTTTTTTACTTGGACACTCTAAATAAAGAGAGATCTCTCCTATTATATATATAGATAGACCTATTGTGTCTCTTTCTAAAGATCGAAAAAACGCAATCAGAGAGACAAAGAAGAAGAAAAGCAAAAGCCTAATATCTTGATATCATGGTGCTAAATCTGAGTTCTGTAGTTGCGCAATTAACTCGCAGAGGGAGATCAGCTCTGTCTCGTCGCAATTTCAGTTCAGCCCCTGTTAGCGATGGTACGTACGTTCTCTTTAATTTACTCTGCATGAAAATTCTCAGACTGGTTCCAATTTATTTCGTTGTTATTAATGTAGAGTCGATAAGTCAAGGAGAGCTCTTCATATATAATTGTTTATCAGCTTATGTGGCAATCAAACTAGGTATGAGAGAGATTTAATTCCCCTCAAGAAAAATTTGTTTCAAATTAATCAGCCTTTGCTTTATTTTATATTATCTCTATATAAGATCGTTATGGACGTGAAGAGCATGCATCGAAATTTAAAGGGAAAGGGGACGAAGAGGTAAAAACAAAATCAAGTGACGATTGCTAATTATCCTCTATTCTAGTCAGTTTAACTAAGACATAATAATTATGTTTAAGGAAATGTCTTTTTTGTTGTTCATATATTATCTATATTGACATTTGTGAAATAAATCCTCGAGTTCAGAACTATTTACAATCATATGCTATTGACATTAAACTATTTACTTCAATATATTGAAACCAATAATTATCACATTTAACAAAAATTCATAAAATCTCTGCACAATAAATAATAAATACCGTTTTTGGATTTTCCAATTTCCTCCTCTAAACTATTTTTCCAATATCTTTATATGCTCTCATTTGTTTTGTATTTTATTCTAATGACATAAAACATATTTTATTATATAAATCTTGGTTTTCAAAGTTAGCCATTAACAAGATCGTGACACGTGGCAAATAATAATTTAAGATTTTGACATGTGGCAAATTATTAAAAGAAAAATATTTATAAAAAAAGAAAATTAAACCCATATACACTATACGGTGATTAGGCCCATATTAAGAAAAAGAAACCCAAAACTCTTTTTAAGTTATATCGGCTTGCATACCCATTATACTGGCCGACGATATTAACCAAGAAATGTAACGTAATGGTTTATATTATACAATTATTGATATGGGCCTTTTGGTACCCATTTAACAACCTCAAAGAGAGTTGTCTTTGAGATTCCTTAAAATAGTTGTACGTGAGATACCAAAAAAAAGTAAGTTGTGTTTTGTTTTTCTTTTTACTTTTTTTAATAAAAAATCTCTTATTATAATCCAATAATATAAAGGAACTTTAACCTAAGCGGATAAGGAAATTGAAAGTTGCACTATCTATATATATAGATATGAGTATTAAGACGTAGTCTAAAAATCCAAAACTTAACTAGGCTACTACAACCATGAACACCGAAGTCACAAATCCAATCTATGAAAAACCCGAAAACCTTCGAAGGAAAAGAAAACAAGGTATTGTGAATGATGATCAGATTGCTATGATGGAGAAGACACTAGCAGATGAACCTCATATACGACTAAACTTAACTACAGTTCAAACATGGGTAAACAACCAAAATCAATATGTAAGTAAAATACTCATGTTCTGCTTCATATATATTATGATTTGTACATATAGATATTACTTTCCTTCCTTCATTTTTATTAACCTAATTTTCTAAAATATAGGGTCCTCAAATTACAACAACGCAACTTAGAAGTTGGTAAGAATTTCTATCTTTTATATTAAAAAAATTAAAAAACTTTTATCTAACCAATAATATATTGCAGGATTTACCATAGAAGAACAAGATCAAAGGTAGCTAGAACTAGCCATCAATCAAAACCATCAAATTTAAGTGTTGATGAAAATCTGGAGAATCATGTTCTAGACCAAACAAGAAGATCTCTAAAACCAAAAAAGACAAAGAATTGTGGTAAAAATTCTAACGTTGAGTTATATACTAAGATAGTTATTTATCGTTACGTTAGTAGTTGAGTTATCATCCAATTTGACATTAATATGTTATAAATGATTTTTTAAAATGAAATTACATCAACTAATATAACTCATTACGTCAACTAATATATGTGTATGTTTTGTTATTATTACGTTATTTACTACAATCTTTTTTTTCCCAGGAAACAATAAAGGAAAAAAAAACAATATGGTAACATGTAATTATTGCGAGGCTTTGGTGTGGGAATCAGAAAGTTTGAAACTGAGTGGAACGGAATTGAAATTTTCAATTTGTTGTCAACAAGGACGAGTTGTCCTACAACGATCCCGACAAACTCCAACTTACTTAGATGATTTATTATCACGGTCAACACTGTTTTGGACTAATATACGAGCATATAATTCAATGCTTGCTTTTACATCAATGGGTGGGAAAATCGATTACGATATCAATTCAGGTAATGGTCCTTTCACTTTTCGTATGCATGGTCAGAATTACCATAAGATTGGATCTTTGCTACCGGTCGAAGGATATATACCACGTTTTGCACAGTTATACGTATACGATACTGCTCATGAAGTTCAAAACCGACTCAACGCTCTTGCCAAAGGAAAAAATAATGAGTTAGATGAAACAATTTTGGGCGGACTAATTGAAATGCTCGACAAATACAATGAGCTAGCTAAAGTTTTTAGAATGGCTAGAGATAGATATGAGTCTGGAGCAAATGAAGAATACTCAATTAGATTAATCAAAAATAAAGAACGCGGCAGACAATTTGACCTTCCACAAGGAGAAGAGATTGCAGGACTGATTGTGGGTGACATGTCTATCCCAAATTCTGACAGAGATATAATAGTGCATCCTAAAATGGAAAAACCCCAGTACATCAGCTTTTTACATCCATCATACATGTCACTACAATATCCTTTGTTGTTTCCATATGGTGAACAAGGATACATCGAGAAGACCATTCCATATAGTTCAGAGGGATATACTACTAAAAGGTCATACGTTACAATGCGAGAGTATTATGCATACCAGATACATACTAGATTGACATCTCCGGGGACAATAGTACGTTCAGGCCGTTTATTTCATCAATACGTGGTTGATGCATATACAGCTATCGAACAAGAACGTATGAACTTTTATTTGTATAACCAGAAGAAACTTAGAGCGGATCTATACAATAATGTATGTGATGCAATTGAACAAGGTGATGCAGATTCAAAGAAACTAGGCCAAAAAATAATTCTACCATCATCGTTTACAGGCGGACCGCGATACATGATAGAAAATTATCGAGATGCAATGGCTATTTGCAGACGTTATGGAAATCCAGACCTTTTCATTACCATAACAGCAAATCCAAAATGGGAAGAAATCACTGAACATATAAAAAAGGCAGGAAATGAGAATGCAAATGACAGGCCTGATATTGAATGCCGTGTATTTAAAATGAAATTAGAAGAACTTCTTAAAGACCTCCAAGATGGTGTCTTCTTCGGCCCTATTACAGCAGGTACTAATAGAATCTATTCCCAAATATTATTAAAGTTTAAGATTTATTAACATAAAGAAATCTAACATGTTTTTTTTACATCTTAAATCAGTCATTCACACAATCGAGTTTCAAAAACGTGGTCTACCTCATGCACACATACTTTTATGGCTACAAGAGTCTAAACAAAATCCAAGTCCAGAAGACATTGATAGTTTCATTAGCGCTGAATTACCAGATAAAGCGACTGATGCAGAAGGTTTTCTATTGGTTGAGCAATTTATGATGCATGGACCATGCGGGCATAAGTGTATGGATGATAACAAATGCACCAAAAAGTTTCCAAGACAGTACAACAATACCACAAATATTAGTGAAGCTGGCTACATTTCTTACAGAAGGAGATCTGACGAAACAAATTTTGTGATGAAGGGTAACACAAAGCTTGATAACCGCTACGTTGTGCCTCACAATCTCACACTCCTGAAAAAATATAAAGCTCACATCAATGTAGAATGGTGCAGTACTTCTTCAGCTATAAAGTATCTATTCAAATATATCACAAAAGGAGTAGACATGGCTACAATGAGGATAGAGAGAAAAGGAGTGGATCAAAATAAAGAAGAGAATGAATCACAAGAAGAGATAAACGAGATAAAAAACTATCTGGAATGTCGTTACCTCTCTGCGTGTGAAGCTATTTGGCGAATTTTTACATTCGATATTCATGACCGCAAACCTGCAGTAACAAGACTATCATTACACCTACCTAACCAACAAAGAATCATTTACCCTGAAGGTGCCAAACTGGAATACATTTTATCAAAAGACGGAATCAAGAAAACAATGCTTACAGAATGGTTCGAGATGAACAGACGATGTCCTGAAGCAAGAAAACTTACTTATATTCAATTCCCTTCATATTACGTGTGGGATTCAGATGGGAAAATGTGGTCAAAAAGGAAGCAAGGATTCAGCATAGGAAGAATAGTGAACATTCATCCAACATCAGGAGACTTATATTACTTAAGAATGCTTCTGAATACAGAAATAGGGCCTACAAGCTTTGATGATTTACTAACATTTGATCATGTAAAATACAAGACCCGGGTCCATATCTAGTGTATAATAAAAATACGATTTTTCGCATATGATGAAATTTGAGTTTTTTTTATTAAACGAACATATATTACTCAATCGAGAAAAAGAAAGTGTATGTATAGCGTCCCACATTGGGTATAAAATTTTAGAGAATGGTTCATAACCATTATAAATATGACTAATATAACCATCATCACGTAACCTTGAGAAACAAATCACTCACTCTTAGAGCTCATATTTGGAAACATGTAGCGTCCAGAACGCCATTTCTGTCACATCTTTTAGTGGGTCTCATGTTCTTTCTTGAGCTTACATGACTCCACATTCGTCTGGATTCGGGTCTGATACCATTTGTAACGTCACGATCGTCACATCTCTTTGTGGGTACCATATCCGTTCTCGGTCATTGAGTCCGCTTTTATTAATCAGCCCCACGTCCACTCCTAGTTTTTGGGCCCTCCCATTCGAGCACCGGTTTGCTTTGTCCGAGAGGGTTTAAAAACTTGTTTACTGACCCTACAGATCACCACATGATCTTTCTTTGTGTTTTGTCCTCACCCTGACAGTTCCAGCAATCACTTCTCATAAGGTCACTCATTCTGAAACTACTTCGGTATAACCATGCTTAACTGTAAATTTCTCCATATTTATCATTACCACAATGCCAAAATTATCATTTCTTTCAAACCTCTCCATATTTCCTAAAATTGGGTGTCACAAAATTCCATGGCAAAGATCTAGATGCATGGAGGTGTCACCCCAACCTCTATATATAATGGAAGTGTTGTATCCTATCTTGTAACCTGAGACCAAACCTTTGCAACATTTATTATATATTGTAAGTCCTCCCTTTCCCGTAAGAGTGTAAGACATGTAGAGAAAATGCTAGTTCGCTTGGCAGTTTTGTCTATATATAATGAGCAAACCTTAAAACAATAGTAAATTAAGTGACATATAGTTTTATGATATGAGCTCCTCATAGGGCCATTGCGTTCATCAGAGAAAAACATTGAATATAAGCTTGTGAGAGTAATACCAAAAAGAACAAATAAAATAAAAATGTCGAGAGTTGAAGATGAATACAAACACATTATTATTCATTATTGAAAACATAGGAATTAAGTAGAAGCCTTATACAATCTATAGATCGATAACCTTCTACGCATATACTGAAACAAGCACAAAAGACTTAATAGTTTTGTCACATACATGACAATTATTGAAAACATGAAATACAACATTGTGAAAGATGACCACGCCCTTCACCTCTGGATGTACGTGGTATCTTCATGGAAATGTATAGTTTTCTCTAGGCAAGTTCAACTCCATTCTTCGAGCCCTTGGTGCAGACTGTAGAACAAGCTAGGGCACACTTTTCAAATGCTCCATTCACGATTTCATTTCCATCTACTCATCAAAACAAAATTTTGAACAAATTATATATATTTTCATGTCCTTTATTAAAAAAAGAAAAAGAAATTTGATGATAGTGACAATGAATTTAGGAAGTTTGCTTTACCAGAGTTCTCGAGAGTGATTAGGGCACCACATACAGAAGATACACATCCCAACTTACAGTATTCGTTGATAGCATCATCTTCAAGATCCAGTAGACATTAGAAAATGAATTCGAGATCCATATTCAAAAAAGCTACATATGCAATATAGAAAACATTTACCACTGTTTTCGAGTATGTCATGGGGATATCCAGGTGGACATGTCTTGTCAACGATTTTGCAGCCACTGACACTCGTACACGTTGGCCTGGAACCTCCACCTGCGCGGCAAACATTATAGACATTCCTAGCCGTGGTGGACGGACAACAGCTCTTTGCGTCAACTTGAATTTGTGCCATGACCAAACTCATTAAGAGTACACTTAGAATCAAACTTTTGCCTTCCATCTTTTGATTGGTTAGTTGTTTGATCACAAAATGTATGTGGAGATCGAGTTATAAGCTTGTATTGATGAAACGATGAAGAAACAAGGCTCGCTTAAATACTAGTACTTGGTCTACAATGACTAGATTGAAGTTGGAAAGATAAGAACGTAATTAATTAGTAACAACGTGTTTGTGTTACATATTTTTTTAATTATTTTTAACCTAATTAACTCTCTTCTAGTTATGTAGATGTATATAAGGTATTACAACATGTTTACCAAACTCTAAAATATTAGTATGCTAATCTTTTTTATTCGAAGAAGACAAATACAAATAACTTGCATGATCCCTTCTTGTTTGGTGCTCCGGCGTAATAAAAGATCCATGCACGATCCCTTTAATTTTACGTAATAATATTTTACTGTTTCGGTAAACACAAAACACGTTGTAATAGTGTAATACTTTAAATTTTCACCATCTAGTAATCTGTGTGAAGAAACTTAGTCAAGACAAAAAAAAATCTATACTATTAAAACAGAAGGACAAGCTGTGTCCAAACAGTCCCAAAAAAAAAATATTAAAAAAAATGTAAATGAAAACCTGTAACCAAACACAATACAAACAATTCTTTTACAATTGTTTAAAAAAGATTTTAAACAGAAGTTATTAAAGCAGTTATCTTTTATGAGATCTTCGATTATTGGAAGTAAAATCGAGAATGTACACGTCAAAGAATCCAGTTAATTAGCTTTGATCCTGTAAATCAAAAAGATCACAATTTTTAAAAACAATATAAAGCAAGTTGCCGATATCATCGTTAGAAATTTGAAACTATTGACAAAAGTTAATCCTCTTTTAATTTCAGAATCAACTAATTGCTAAATCTTAGTAACTACATTAATTTTTGTCCTTAAAATTCGTCTTCTTATTCAATCAAATGCATATTAGTTTTTAATACATTCAATATCAATATATTCACATACACCATAATGTCAATTATGCACGTAGTATCTACCATAATCTACACATAGTATTAGTAGTATTAGTCACGCAAAACTCGGTTATAGTAGTTAATTAAACCAATGAATATTCGCCACAAAATCATCACATAATATTCCTTAATCTCAACGAGTCATAACACAATCTAACCTAACATAATATGCCACAAAATCATCACATAATATTCCTTAATATCAACGAGTCATAACACAATCTAACCTAACATTCTACTACGCCTATATAAATTAAAGCATCCATTCTACACTAAACATTATACACCAGCACTAAAACAGAAAAAACGATGGCTTCAAACAATTGTTTTACATCATTGGCAGACATCAAACCATTCAAGACGTCATGGAAAATAAAAGTGAAGATCATCCATACCTGGAAACAGTTTACAACCTACACAGGAGAGACCATCGAGATGATTCTAGCAGATGTTGATGTAAGTTATTCATTTGTCCTCCCAAAGTATACCTACAATCATTCATATATATATATATGATTGTAATCAATGTTTTTCTTTTTGTAGGGTACATTAATCCATGCTACAATCAAAAAACAACAGTTGAATAAATTTCAACGCTTCATTGTTTATGGAGAATGGAGAATCATTGAAAACTTTCAACTCACACGATCTGCTGGAAAGTACAGAGCAACCAAGCATACTTACAAGATGTCGATTATGAATTCAACACTCATATCGAAATGTCCTTCATTGTCAAATGATTTCTTCTTGGATTTAGCTACCTTTGATGATATTCTCGCTGAAGATGTGTTGAATGAACACATCCTGATTGGTAATTTAAATTTCTTTAGACTTTTACTACTATTTAACAGTAGCTACTTTATATTTCTAAAGTTTAAATATTTCATTATATGCAGATGTCCTTGGTCAGGTTGTTGCTGTTGGTGAGATGAAAACATCATCTCAAAATGACAAACCAAAAAAAAGATTGGAGATTGAACTTAGAGATACCAGGTAATCGGATGTAAGATTCATGTTTACTATGTTAATTCTTAATTTACAAGTTTTTAACATGTTCATCTATTTTTGATTATAGCGATCAGCGGCTACAATGTACTTTATGGGGCAAGTTTGCAGATTCAATGTGGGAAGCTACCAGAAATGGAGCTGGTGGATCAGTAATTTGTTTGCTACGTTGTGCTAAAATCAACACTTACAATGGTCAGATTTCTAATTCTACAACTTAACGTGTTATGTTATAAATGATAAACAATTCTATCCGGGATTAGAGTTTCTATTACTATTGTTTTCAGGTGAGAGATCAGTTACAAATGCATTTGACATGTCTCTCATGCAAATCAACTCAGACCACACCGCTGTCGGTGATTTTATTGCTGAGTATGTTTATAATTTTCGTCAAATACATTTAATTGCAATATCTACATATCTAACCAAAATACTATTATAAACGGCTTATATATTTATTTTCTTTCAAACTACAGTTTACCCAAAGATGATTTGCAAATTGTCTTCCTGGCTAAAGAATCAACAGATCGGATCTTGAAAAAGGACAAGGATGATTACATCAACCAATATCCAATGAGCACCATTTCCGATCTGTTGGAAGCTACTTCGGTAACTCTATTTCTACTTAAATCTAACCATGTCCTAGAGTTTCTAATGACTAATAGTATGAATGAACATGATAAATAGGAAGGAAAGATGAAGATAATGGCAACCATATATAACATAGATATGGAATTTGGTTGGTATTATTTTACCTGTCTCAAATGTAAACAAACTTGCTACTTGATCCCAAAAGTTGAGAATGTAACTTACAGTAAACCAAGAAAGCCTTTGTTTTACTGTAAAACATGCGTGCAAGATGTAACCAAGGCTGTTTCCAGGTCAGTTTGTACAGTTATGATTTGTCTTAAACATATTATGCGAATTGTTTTTAGTGTTTTATCATGTGAACTATTTCTTTTATGTATTTTCATCAGGTTCAAACTGACTCTTGATGTTATGGACAACACCGGGGAGTCAAAGTTCATCTTATTTGATACAAATGCTTATAAGATTGTGAATCATACTACAACTGAACTTTTGGAAGGCAATTATGATGAGGTAATCTTACATACTATACAATGTCCTCATCTGCTATAAAATCCAAACACCTAACTAAGACATATATGCCTAAATTGCAGATATCAGACCCAAAAGATGTCCCACTCGCTCTTAAGAACTTAGTTGGAAAGACATTTAAGTTTCTTGCATCAATTCACACTGCAAACATCACAGAAGGCAAAGAAAGTTACAAGTGTTCTTATGTGGAGATGGGTGATTCTACAACTAATGTGGATAACATAGAAGATTCTGAAATTCAAGCTGATCCTAAGGATGTGATTTCTATGGTAACAGAAATAGTTTCACTACATATTGAATGTTTAATTCTTACAGTATTTACCAATTTATATAATAAAACGAATGTATTTTGTAGGACAACCAGTGTAGTTCAAGAAGCAATGAAACAAGGGATGGTAATGGAACTGCTACTACTACACCATCATCCAAACGTAAAGAAGACCCTACTGATCAAGCAGAACAATCATCAACTTCTAAGAAACTTTGTCTACCATCAATAAAAAGTGCTATTGAAAGTGAAAATGTCGATGTGGCCAATGCAAATGTGGATGAGGCCTCTGAATCAGAAGGAGAAGAAGAGGAGAAGAAGAGGAGAAGGAAGACTAAGTTCATTAAACTTATTCATTTTCAGAAACTTTTTTAAAATTTATTTTCCCATTTGGTTTAATTTAGTTTTCAATAAAGTAGTATGGTTTTTTCATGTTTGGTATTAACTTATTGCATAAGCAGTAACTTAATACTCAAAACATTTTTCCATATTATTATTTGCTTATGTATTTGTAACTTTGGTTTAATTCAATTCTTTTTGAGCAACTCTTTTTGAGCAATATGAGATGACTTTCTAATTTTATTCAAAACCATATACACCGTACATTCAAATTAATATTAACAGACGTTGGTAACAACTTAAGATAGTACAGATTGAAATCACTCATAATAATTATTTAAGTATATTTAAATTATAAAACTAAAAAAAAAGGTAGGGAGAAAATACCTTATCATTGTTATCCCGTGGAAAACATATTGTTGTGTTTAGTCTCTTCTTTCTAACCAAATCGATTCCTCCAGCAGCCGCTAATAACAAATAACAAATTAAAGTTATTAGTGAATATTAGACTCACTATTTTTATGCAAATTAATATAATAGATTACACTAAACACAACAAATGAAAGAACAATCATTTAGTTAATATACTGGAGATATTAAAAATATACCAAGAATCAATTAGTTCCCATTTCTAAGCAAAATATCTTAAAATTTGTTACCAAAACTGATGTCGTAAAGGATTTTCCCCCACATTAGTACTAAGATATTTCAATATTACTGAAATCATACCAATCAACATAACCATTCAGAGAAGAATTATGAAGAAAAGGAGAAACGATGTACTTGATAGGTCAGATAGGTTTGATGAACTCAAAAACTCAAAGAGGGTAAGGTCACCAATCAACAAGGAGAATATCAATCCCAACATTCAAAAACCTATTCGGAGTACTGTCAAAGTCACAAGTATTTTCAAAAAAGTTTTCTCTGCTTTGAATCAAAAAACTGTCATTAGACCCAACATTCCCAATCACCAAAGTCAACCATCTCTTTCATATGATCAGGCTGGTATATCTGGTAAGCAAACAAACTTTACAGGCTTATTACAGTACAAACATAATAATTTAAGTATCTTATCTATTGAAATCAGTAAAGTTAATGGCTAATATATTCTCATATGTATCAAGTAGGTTCTACAATACATTCAGTCAGGACAACAAGGACAGTTCTAGGAGATTTAACTAACATTAATCTTCGTTCCAACCTTGGTACGGTACAACAATCAAACAAAAGAAAACAAACACACAGCAGCAAAAGCAAAGAAAATGAACAACCAGGAACGTTCCTACCAGGTTAAGCCTCTATTATCTTAGTTTAGTGTTAAAAGAAGTCATATACATAATGTGGTTAAAGTTTGACAATCATGCAACAGAATCTACAGCAAATTCATGTTGCACAGTATTGGATAAGTCAGTAGCTTACCAAGAAACTCCCCCAACCAAAAAAAGAGCAGCAAACATTCTGACAACACATAAAAGTCCACCATCAGTCAATAGCAAGCAAGGTATAAAGAATGCATTCCAAACATATTTTTATCAATTATAATTGTATAAAGTCTATTTTTTATGTGGAATATCAGTCAATTGTCATTTCCTGTTTACCAAACAATAGGCTTGAGACAAGGACTCATAATCACTAGGCGTCCAACATCTTTACGGTTTGCTAAATCAATTGCACGACAATGGAGACCACCTGGTGTAACTAATAACATTCCTTCGAGAAACACAGATTTCACCACTCAAAAAGAGACAGTGCTAAAGACTGTAATAAAAGAGATTCCAGCAGTAACCACAGGTAATATGCATCTTTTTCGTTGTCAATCATCGTTTTAAAATCACTATTAAACAATTTGTGATCAATGCGGTTAATCTGAGTTTAATATTACTAAAATCTGTCTAACAGAAGAACAGACATACCAATGCACCAGCAGTAGTGAAGGACCAGACTCCGAACCTTCAGATGATGACTCTGAAATAGAGATTGTGACTCCAGAAGTTAGAAAAGGGTTTCAGATTCTTAATATGTTAGATGAAAGTTTAACAAAGGCTTTTGGTACAAATCAAAGAAAAACAGTGAGACCAAAAACTAGAAAGAAAGAAACAGGTAAAATACTAAACATATCATTACACCAATCCATTTACTATTATCACACTAAAGTAGGTTTATGTGAGTTTTAACATTTGCTTTGAAAACAGATTATCTTGACCATGGGGATCCTACATATTCATGTAGTTATTGTGGAGCTATTATGTGGTATGGTGAACGTATTAACAGACATAAAAGGGATCGTAACCCAACATTCTCCCAATGCTGTTTACAAGGATCAGTACAGTTGCCTTTTTTGCATAATCAGCCTGAGTTGTTGTTTGCTTTGCTAACAAACGATGATGAATTGAGTCGCCATTTCAGAGAAAATATCAGAGCATACAATATGATATTTTCTTTCACATCACTCGGTGGAAGTTGTGAGAACACGGTTCTTAAAGGCCGTGGTCCTAATATGTTTCAAATACAAGGCGAGAATTATCATCTACTTGGTAGTCTAAAGCCTGAAGTTGGTGAATTCCCAAAGTTTTCACAGTTGTATATCGTCGATACAGAGAATGAAGTCCAAAACAGAGCTGGTATTCTAAGGTATATTTTTTACTACACTACCAAATGAAACATCACGTACATTAAAATGATTGATTAAGATGGCTCTAATTGGAGTTCACAATTTTTTTTTCCAGCAAAGCCAAAAACGCAGGGAAGTATAAGAAAAAACAGAATCTCATACCAGAAATTATTCAAGCAATAATAAAGTTACTCGATGATGTCAACCCCTATGTTGAAAATTTCAGATCAGCAAAGGAAAGGATGGATACTAATCCTGAAGAAAGTTTTCACATGAGGATAGTAAGTGATCGGAAAAAAGATGGAAGAACATACGCTGTTCCCACAGCTAATGAGGTCGCCGCATTGATCCCAGGAGATTTTCATTTAGGTATGCCAACTCGTGATATAGTTGTTGAAGAAAAAGGTGGGGATTTACAAAGAATCAAAGAGACACATCCATCATATCTAGCTCTACAATATCCTTTATTATTCCCTAAAGGAGAAGATGGTTACAGACCTGGAATAAAGAAACGTCCTAAAGCTGTGAAAAAGAAAAGCCAAGCTGATAAAGAGAAGGAGAATGACTGCATAAGTCTGCGTCAGTGGTTTGCATTCCGTATACAGGAAAGGAAGAATGAGTCAAGAAATCTGCTTATGTCTAAAAGATTGTTCCAGCAGTTCTTAGTAGATGCTTACACGACAATTGAGACAAACAGGCTGAGTTTTATAAAGCAGAATCAGTCAAGTTTGAGGGCGGCTAATTATGACAAGGTCAAGGATGCTGCTATAGAGGGGATCACAGATATGAATGACCAAGGAAGCAAATATTACTTACCCGCTACTTTTGTTGGTGGACCTAGATATATGAGAAATATGTATCTTGATGCAATGGCGGTTTGTAAATTTCATGGCTTTCCAGATCTCTTCATCACTTTCACATGCAACTCAAAATGGCCAGAGGTGGTTAGATTTTGTAAAGAAAGAAACTTGAATCCAGATGATAGGCCAGATATAATAAGCAGAGTGTTCAAGATGAAGTTAAATTCTCTAATGGATGATTTTACCAAGAAACACATCTTAGGGAAAACTGTGTCATGTGAGTACTTATCTATACTTGAAACTCCATTACTTATTTAGTGAAGTTATCTTATGTGCCGTTAATAATTATGCCTTGCTATGTTTTAAATTGTGAACAGCGATGTATACAATCGAGTTTCAAAAACGAGGACTACCACATGCGCACATCTTGCTATGGATGCATCCTGATTACAAGTTCCCAAAAGCAGAAGACATTGACAAAATTATTTCTGCAGAGATACCAGACAAGACTAGGGAACCAGAACTACATCAAATTGTCAAAGATTGCATGATTCATGGACCATGTGGTGCTATTAATATGAATTCTCCATGTATGGAAGACGGGAAATGTTCAAAGTTCTACCCAAAGAAGCATGTTGATCACACTACAGTTGATAAGGAAGGGTTTCCAGTATACAGGAGAAGGAAAACAAAGCACTATATTGAGAAGAATGGTTTTAAGTGTGATAATCGCTATGTTATACCATATAACAAGGTGTTGTCACTAAGATACAAGGCTCACATCAATGTTGAGTGGTGCAATCAAACAGGTTCAATCAAATACTTATTCAAGTATATTCACAAAGGTTTGGATCGTGTATATGTTGTTGTTGAGCCATCGTGTAAAGATAAAGAAGAAGATAAGAGTTCTAGCCGCAGGAAAAAGCAAAAAAAAGAGAGTAATCAGAATGTTTCTGGGAGTAGTAGTTCAAATGAGATAAAAGACTTCTTTGATTGCAGGTTTGTTATAAAAAAATTTGTTTCACTGTTTGATATCTTCGTATATAAATTATCATGTCAGAATGTTCTGATATTGTCTTAATGTAATTATGGTGACTTTAAATGCAGATATGTGTCGGCATGCGAAGCAGCATGGAGAATTTTGAAGAATCCTATCTGTTACAGATCTACAGCAGTTCAAAGGTTGTCCTTCCATTTGCCGGGAAAACAAATGGTCTTTTTCAAGGGAGATGATGAAGTACAAACAGTTCTTAATAGGGGGGAGTCAGTTCTATCTATGTTTCTGGCATGGTTTGAACTTAATAAGGTATCAGAACTAGCCAGGGAACTCACGTATGCAGAGATACCCGAGTATTTTACGTGGGATAAAAAAAGGAAACAGTTTAATGAGAGGAAGAGACCAGGTTCTACGATTGGAAGAATTAACTATGTTCCAATTAGTATAGAAGATGGATACTACCTCAGAATGCTGCTGAACACACAAAAAGGTCCCAAGAGTTTTGATGATATCAAAAAAGTCAAAGGAGTAGTTTATAAAACATTCAAAGAGACATGTTTTCATCTGGGATTACTAGACAATGATCAGGAATATATAGATGACATAGTAAGAACAAGTTTCTGGAGTAGTGGAAGCTTTTTACGTCGTCTATTCGTTGTGATGCTACTGTCTTATAGTTTGTCTCAACCAGAAATTGTTTGGGAAAAGACTTGGGAACTACTTTCAGATGACATTGAAAAAGAAAGGAGAGACTATTTCAACCGACCAGGTAATACTAAATATCAATACTATTTTCGTATACACATTCTGATTACGGAATTTTATATTAATTCTTTTGTAATAATTTCTGTAGAACTAACTCTAGATGATGAGGAGAAGAAGAATTTCGCATTACTGAACATTGATAGTATCTTGAAAAGCAATGGAACATCTCTATCAGCCTTTCGGACCATGCCACAAATACCAAAAGAAAGTCTGGATGGGACTAATGTTTTGATACTTGACGAGAAAAACTATAATCGTGAAGAACAGAAAGAAAAACATGACAGATGGGTAAAACAAATGACAGATGAGCAGAAACATATCTACGATGAGATCATGGAAGCAGTGGATAGTGATAAAGGTGGTGTATTCTTTGTTTATGGTTTTGGAGGTACAGGGAAAACTTTCCTTTACAAGACCCTATCAGCAGCTTTGAGATCTAGAGGATCTATTGTGCTAAATGTTGCTTCCAGTGGCATTGCTTCTTTGTTGCTAGCTGGTGGTAGAACTGCACACTCAAGGTTCGGAATTCCGATAAACCCTCACGAAACAAGTGTATGTACAATGAGCGCAGGGACGGATCAAGCACAATTGGTGGCTGAAGCTTCTTTAATTATATGGGATGAAGCCCCAATGATGAGCAAACATTGCTTTGAGTCTTTGGATAGAAGTCTATCTGATATTCTAAAAGGAGCTGGGAACAAACCATTTGGAGGTAAAGTGGTTGTCTTTGGAGGAGATTTCAGACAGGTCTTACCCATTATACCTAATGCTGGTAGAGCTGAAATTTGCATGTCTGCCCTAAATGCGTCATATATATGGGATCATTGTAAAGTTCTGAAGCTTACCAAAAACATGAGGCTCCTAGCTAATAATTTGAGTCCAACAGAGGCAAAAGAGCTAAAGAACTTCTCAGAGTGGATATTGGCTGTTGGAGATGGGAAGATAGCTGAACCTAACGATGGTGAAGTCATGATTGATATTCCAGAAGAGTTTTTGATCACTGAATCTACTGACCCTATTGAAGCTATAACCAGAGAAGTATATGGCGATCCAATGTGTTTGAAGGACAAAAAAAATCCAATCTTCTTTCAGGAGAGAGCTATTTTATGTCCAACAAACGAGGATGTGGGCATTATTAATGAATATATGCTTGATCAGCTAGAAGGTTAGTATAATCTCCTAATCTATTTATATTCAAGTTTTAAAAGAATGGTTAAGCTATTTATAAAACGTTTTATAGCTACTATTAATAGTTATGTCATTGTTTTTATGAAGGTGAGGAAAGAACATACCTAAGCTCCGATTCTTTAGATCCTTCTGATAAAAAATCAAAGAACAATCCGGTTTTAACACCTGATTTCTTAAACAGTCTAAAGGTTAATGGGTTGCCAAATCATAGAATTAGATTGAAAGTAGGTTGTCCAGTTATGTTGCTAAGGAATATCGATCCAAGGGGAGGGCTAATGAATGGCACTAGGCTGCAGATTACACAATTAGCTGAGTTTGTTTTGGAAGCAATCATTATCACAGGAGATAGAGTTGGGGATAAAGTCCTTATACCTAGGGTTTTGATCACACCTTCAGACACAAAACTACCTTTCAAGATGCGAAGAAGACAATTGCCTTTAGTTGTTGCTTTTGCAATGACTATAAACAAAAGTCAAGGACAATCTTTGGATTATGTTGGATTGTATTTGCCTAGACCATGTTTCTCACATGGTCAGCTATATGTTGCTGTTTCAAGAGTGACTTCAAAGAAAGGGCTGAAGATTCTGATTGTTGATAAAGAAGGAAGACCTCAAAAGGAAACAGTTAATGTTGTTTTCAAGGAGGTTTTTCAAAATTTGTAACCGGGTCTGTTGCAGTTTACCCATCAAATTCACAGGTAACATTTTCCAAACAAAACTATGTTCAGTGAATTAAATTTTACAACTCACTGTATTAATAACATATTCAGAAAATCAAACTCTAACTATAAGTAATCTATATTCTTTTCGATTACAGGTTTCCAAAAACACAACAAGAAAAACACCAGCTAAGTGCATATCACAGAACAACTCTTCGGATACACATGCCATATGGGAGGAGGAATACTCATTCATTTTCAGATTTCAGTTTCTGTACTCTTAATAATTTTCTACCTTAAAACAACCATTTCTTTAGTTGTTCACAACGATTTTTAATAACAGGTTATTGACAATAATTATGGTATTTTCACAATGTTGAAGTTATAACTTTTAATAGTATAGATTATGGTTAGAGGTCTAATAAGTTAAGTGTACCCCAATAAGGAATCTATATCTATATATAACTTGAACTGAAAATTGCAGAAAATCTCAAATCCAGAAAAAGTATTTACTAACCATGATTGTTCAGGAACTTCTCTTATCCATGTGCGTATAAATTTGAATGTATTGTACAATTAAGCCATGACCGAGTGACACCATCAAACTGGGCAAACATTAAAAACATATTAGTTTAGATAGTCAAAGTAGATATGTTTTATTCAAATGAAACGTATATTGTAATTCGAAATACTTATCTTACTGGAAACGAATTGAATTGGTCAAATCTGCAAAAGAGAAATAAATTGAAGATTAGTTAAGAAGCAAAAATGGACGATGATTTATATTCTACAGAACAGACAAGTTAATTCAAACTACACCTTGCTATATGACAAAGATAGATACCCGAAAAAATATATATTATAAACTAAAACGATTTGCAGATCAATAATTAAACAACACTTATAGAATAGATATGAAGAATTCCTGAAACTGTAAATTTCAGATGACTTTTTACAAACAAGTAATCGTTGTTACTTGAAATCGTAAACATAGAATTGAAAACAAACCGAACCTCAAATTATTTCAACCAAATACGCAGTTTTAATTCAGCTGAAACGATTTGTGTTCACAGGAGATCTGGTTCGGCGATGAAGACAACAAAAATCTCTGTCTTTTCGTTTTTTTTTTCATTGTTTTTCTCACAACCATTTTCTGAAAAACGACTGTTCCAAAGAGACAAATTTTATGGGCCTGGACTGTTCTCAAATTATAAGGTACGGTCCACAACAAAACCCAAAAACTGTTTATCCTTTTTTTGAACTAGACCCATTAACCATTCCAAAAATTGAAATTCCTAATACTATACTTTCACATCTATGTCTTTACAAAAATCAAACTTAGTTTAATTTAATCATACTATCATCTTCCTCATAAAATTATGTTATTAATCATGTATACAATATATACCAAACTTTACCACAAATTACCCCGCACGTACGTGCGGGTCCATCCCTAGTAATAATATAAAAAGGTGACACAAAACACGTTGTAACTAATTTACATTATCATTATCATATGCTTCATTATTAATCAATTTTGTTTCGATGCAAGTGAAATCATAAATAGAGCGGTCGAAAAATGTGTCATAGCATGTTATACAATTAACGATAAATTGTATTTAAAGAACAAATAACGTTTTTGTTCAAAAAAAAAACAATTAACGTTTTTACAACTAGTGTAACAAATTTTGAGAAAATGTTTTTGCTAAAACAAACGCGAGAAAAAAATCACTTTTGGAATTACTTATCATATTGCCTATTTCTCATTTCCTGAATTACTTGATTTTTAATTTGCTTATCAATCCATCCTATGACTGTGAAAAGACATTCTGTAACAACAGTCATAGGACGGATTGATAGGCAAATTAAAAATCAGTAGACTGTAGACTACTGTCTAAAAAACATTCCGTATATAAAGCACATATATTTCCAAATGATACTTTTGTAACATTACCCTTCAAATCTAGAAAATGGAAGTTAAACAAAAAAATATATGCAATACAGCCTTTCCGTCAAATTTTTAAAATGTTGGTAAATCATATATCAAATCAAAACCTTCGAGAAGTTTAAAAACCACCATTATATTTTTTTCAAAAATAAAAGTATGTGATCGTAAAAACATTCAGAAAATTCGTACGAGGGTTGTATTGTGTAATACACAACTAGCTGGTTCAACTATTACTATAAGTAGGAACGGATAATTGGTTATATCATACCCAACATAAACTTGAATGTTCAGTTCATACATAACATTTGTCAATGTACCAATACATACTTAATGTTTAAAAAAATTCAAATTCCATACCCGAACTTTGCAAATCGTAGAAAATCATACATCTATTTTCCCGACTGCTGACATGGATGCCATGTCACTGATGACATTGATGATGTGGTTGCCACATCTTTGATGACGTCACTGCCACGTCATCATATTTTAAAACAAAAATAAAAATATATATTTTTTCTTTTTTATATTCTTTTCTATTAATATTATCAATAACAAGTATCATTTTTGATTTTTTCTAAAGATTTTAAAACTTATTTTCAAAGTTATAAACTAAAAATTTGTAATTGCTCTTCTAAAAGTCTTCAAGTTGCTTTTAGTAAAAACATACTTTCAACTAATATTTATATAAGGTTATTTTAAGGTTTATGTTCTCTACTAAAAGTGGTTTGAGGATTTTTTTGAAGACCAATTGTGAGTTTTGGATTTATAATCTTTTAAAAATTAGATTCGGTTGAAATAATGGTTCTAAATTTTGAAAACAAGATTTTAAATCTTTACGTATCACAATTTTGTTGGATAATATTAATGGAGAATGAGAAATTTTTTTTTGAAAGATGATGACGTGGCAACCACATTATCGACGATGTGACTACCACGTCATCAACATCATCAAAGACGTGGCATCCATGTCAGCAATATGTATGACTTCATACAATTTGATAATTTTAGGTATGAAATTTAAATATGTTAAAAGGTTAAGTATGTATTTGCACATAGACAAATGTTGGGTATGAATTGAACACTCGCTATTAGGCTATGTATGAATTGGCCGATTTTCCAAGTAGGAACTGAGACATCTACATTGCATATATCTTTTAGCAGCAGAAGCCTATCCTCCATAAACTGAGGAAGTGGGATGGACATATATGGGGGAGAAATGAACCTTTTGCATGTAGTTATCACAAACTTCCATAACAAAAAAAACAAATGTTTCTTCATTTTCTATACAAGAAATATACACTCAACCCATTCCACAGGTTTAAGACAGACAGAAAGAAGAAAACTTTCCTACAGTAGATACATTATTTGACATTAGAGACCACCTCAGAGTGTTTGTGATTCTAACAGATGTCTGAAATGGAATTGTGTAATCATCAAGGGATTCACTCTTTCTCTTCTGATGAAAGCTGCTTAGCGAGTAAGATAAGACCAGCAGTTGTGAAGCCTGACAACACTGTTGAGGCATAAAACAGAGCTAGAAGAGATCCTCTCAAAGACTGCGTTGAAGAACAACATTATGACAAAATGTTAATTACAAATCCACAAAGCCACATGAAGCAGAATCATCTAGACTTATAGGAGTAGAGTGTTTGATCTACTAACCTTTCCGATTAGCAATGCATTGTCATTTGCATACTGCAATGAGTTCTCTGGTATGCTTTGGATCCCCTGACTGATTTGCCATGAAAGTATCCTGTTTGAATCGACATGAGGTGTTTTTTTTAATGTTGTTAAGAGTGTAATACACAGTTTGAAAATAACTAACAAACTTTAGCAAATACCCATAGATGAATGCAATGGCAGCTCCAGTGTATGCTTTCTGTGGAGTCACAGCAACTTGAAGGTTCCCAAACTGCAGTTTTAAACAATAAAAGTTATCATCTGCAAAGTAACTTCAGTAGACGTACACAAGCAACATAATATATTCTGTTTTACCTTAAGCATCCTTGTTCCTGAGTTGGGTTCATTACTGACTGAAGCAGATGATGTATTTGCAGATAGGACTTTTCCAGTTGTAATCATCGCTTTAGCAATCTGCGAGTTCTCAGAAACATTAGCTTTGTAGGCAAGTTCCAAGGGATGATTTCACAGACGACCAACTGATTTTATAATTGTGGCTGTGAAGTCTAACAAGTTATACAGATGATCTGATTAACATTTGAAAAACGTTTGCAAACAATTTCAATTTAACTGTCACTTACATTTACATTTTCACCGAATATACATAATCAAACAATCAGTAGAAGAAACCACACCTACGTTTGAGATTCAAGTACCTTCTGTAATTCACCTTTACCATATTGTCCCATCCCCTGGAATCTTTTTCCTGCAGATATCAGGCGTCTCCCAAAGGCTAAACAAGAAAAGTAAAAAACGAGTATGATTACAAGAGTAAATCTAGATAGATGTGTAGCTAGATACTAAGGGTACTTCTTGTTACCTGATTTGGCACCACCTGTTAATGAATTTTCCAGTTCCGGAAGTTTCTCCACTAAACTACGAGAAGTTGATGTGTCAGCTTGTTCCCAAGCACGAGAGAGATTCAGTAATGTCTCCCCAAGCTCTTGACCACACTACAAATATATTTGAGAAGTTGCAATTATAAGTACCCCAAAAGTTATAAGAAAATGAGTCTAAGGAGGTAAGCTTGTGTAAAACACTACAAAGATTCAAGATCCTCTCATCGTCTCTAATCAAATCCACAGGGCATAGCGCCAATGGCTTTAAGACAAACAAGTTCTCGAATAGGAAGAGAAGACAAGGAAGCAAAACTTAGCTTAAGTTAAAAGAGATACTAGTCAACTGAAAAATGATGTGTGGCAGAATGGAAGAAGACACATATCCTTCAATTAAATCTTCAGAGAAAATCAACGAGTCGAGGATATGTGAACAGAAAGATGAAAAGAAACAGTTGAAAACGATGATAGAAGAGAAGATCCAAGGTAGGTACCTTAAGATGCACAATGTACTATATATGAAGAACAAAGAAATGCCAATTCAAGGAAACACCACTAATCCTGTGGAAGGGATTCCCAAAGGCAAACACTATTTCAAGTCTAACGAATGGTGAGGGTGGGATTTGTCAAGTTTGGCTGAACATCAACAAAGGCGTGTACAGGATTGTATCAGCAGGAAGGGAAAAAACAACGACCTATGGTGGACTAGAACAATAACGCTAAGAATATGATGTGTGAATAAAGCTAAGAATATGATGTTTGATTGTTGTTTACGATAGGGACTCTGATGCTACAATAAAGCAAGATCATACACATTTAGTTCTCAAGTCCATGAATGTCACATAAGAGATCACAGAGATGGAGTAGCTGTTCTTGAACTCAGTACTAAAACAATCCTACCCTCAACTCAAACAATGAATTAAGTTCACAAAGACAATGAATGGAGAAAGAGAAACTAACCTCATCAATGATTGGTCCATTGGAGAGATCAAAAGCAGCATCATTTAACTGCACAAAGCCAAAACATATGTAGCTAAAATCACAAAAATCGAGTTTTTTAAAGCAATGAGGGCTTTTACTTACATCAAGACGAAGGTCATTTGGTAACTGCTGGAAGTAATCTGATGGAAGATCAAAACTTTTCTGCAACAGCAACACACAATTCATAACCCATTAAGAAAAAAAGAACTCAATTTGAAATTTGGTAAAACCCATAATCAAAAACAGAGTTTCACCTACAGAGAGTTGTAGAAGAAGGGCTTTAGGACTTGTTTCTGTTTCTAAAGGTTGAGTAGAATCTGATTCCGTAAGAGCGAATCGGAGAGTCAAGGATTTCGAAAGATTGTGCCTTTTTGAGATATTAGGTTTGAGGGATGATGAAAAATGAAAACTTGGCTGTGAAAAGAAGAGGGTGGAAGAAGATGAGAGACTGTGGAGAGGTTGAAGGAGATGAAGAGAAGCCATCTTCACTGTTCCCAAAAAATACCCAGAAAAGAGAGTCAAGAGTGTAAATTACAGAATGATCAAAAGTATATCAATGAAGGTGGTATCATCATCATCGATAAGCCAATCAAAAGAATAAAGACAAAATAGCTTTAGAATTTGAGCAAAACTGTGGTCTGAAACTCAAGAACCAGAAAGAACCAAAACGGACGAGAGAATTGGAGAAAGACCCACGTGAACATCACGTGTGTACTCATCAGTATTAAGAATAAGAATATGGCTTTGGGCTCGGCCTGATCGGCCCACTTAAAGTAGTCTTTTGGGCGCTTTGTATTCTACCTTGTTTACAACAAGTTTATCAATGAAACTTTAGGTGACAAAAAAAAAAAAAAAAAAAAAATTTTAGTCGATTAATGTACAAATAAATGCCAAAATTAAACCTAGTTTGACCACACACACAAAGATGCAAAAATTAAATTATTATTGAATTTATCTTTATCTTTGATTTTTCTTTTGGTAAAAATGTTATTTTAATAAATGTTTGATCCCAAAAGAGAAAAAAAAAATCATAAATGTTTTTTGATTAGAGGTTGATGAATGTTTTGTGTTATCAATTAGCGATGTCATTTTATAATATTTAAAACAATTTTGTCTATTATACATTTTTTATGTAACATATTAATGCATTTAAAAATAACAAATAATTTTAAAGGGAAATAATACATAATATGTAAGAGCTAAAAAGACACAGCACAAAGATCAATTCTAAAACTGTAACTTCAGGCATATAACAAATGGTTTTGCTCGAAATCAAAACAGTACAGTGTAAAAACAAGATGCATCATCCTACAAAATAGAAGGAAGCATTTTCAAATCCACAGTTTTGTTTTTAGTTTTTCACCTCCAAGAGGAACCACCAAGCTTAATCACTTCTTCTGAACTCGAATCCCTTCTTGTTCCAATTCCTTGATCACCTTTTTGACTACTAGTAGCGTCTCCATATAAATCTTTTAGCTTTGCAAGATTGCTGTTCACAGTCACAGCTTTCTCCTTGTTGATGATACTATCTCTTCTTGGAGTTGGTTCACGCTCGATTTGCACACTCCTGCTCCTACTTCGGCTTCTGCTCCTGCTTCTCCGGTCATGTCTGCTTCTATCATCATCGTAATCACTGCGTCTACTTCTACTTTCATAGTCACGCCTTGATCTCCTATCATTACCATAATCCCTCTCCCTTTCTCTGTATCTATCTCTCTCCCTATCTCTTTCCCTATCTCTCTCCCTCTCCCTGTCTCTCTCTCTGTCCCTTTCGCGGTCTTTCTCCCGCTGTCTATCTGAGTCTCTGTCAGAATAATAGTCTCGGCTCTGGCTCCTACGTGGGGACCGCTGTTGTAGCTCATCGCCTCCATTTCTGTCATAACCAGACGGTGGAGGACGGCGAACAGGAGAAGACCCTCTGGTGGAAGCGCGGTGAGGTGCACGCTGACCAAATGAAACAGAAAGAGATGCTTTTACTGATGGTGGACGACGGGCAGTGTCTTCAGAGCCACGACTCATGTCTCCCGTTGAACCAGAAGGTTTAGTTGGCAAATTCATCTTCTCCAGGTTTGATACAATCTGGCGCATGACAGGGACAGGTATCCGAGGAAACAATGTATCAAAGTAGTACTGCAAGAAAACCAACAACAGTTAGCCAGATTCAGGAATTGACATTAAGGAGACATTAGAGTGTCAAATTGCTCAAAAATGTGCATAGATAAAAGACTATTAAACACTTTAAGGTCAACTGCTAATAGATACTTTGCAAAAACAAACAGAACGAATATAAAAAAATTTGAAAACATTTTCACTGGTTCACGAAGCTAGTAGTATTCACTTAAGTACGGAAATGAAGTAAATCCTTCAAGCCGATAATCACCAAACGCTCTTCAAAAAACATAGTTTAGGATCATTACAGAGATATAGGTAGCAGGGCATACCAATCTACTGAAAAAGATCACATTACAACACCAGAGATATCAAAGAACATCATCAAATGGTAAATAAGAACACTTTAAAAAAGTGACTTTATCCCTAAAAGAGTGTCTATACTTTCCTGACAAAACAAATAGCAACACAGCAAACCCAGTTGCACCTTAAGATTTTAAAAAGCATCCCACAGCATCTTATCGACAAATCAAATTTCTCCACTCAATATCTATTCAAATTCCCAGTATAAGTTCAATTCATTTTTAGACCTATGATGAACCAGGATGCATCCAAGTCTATCCAATACCTATATAGAACCAGGATATATCCAAGTCTACCCAAAACACTTTTTCCATGAAATATTTTATAGAAGACAGGAAAATATGACTGTGTATTATAACAGCTTAATACTTACCAGTCCAAGCAGCAAATCACGTATATAAACACCCATTGTCGTCATCCGTCCATTTGATCCTGGTGAAAACTCCTGAAGGCAAAGTTTATAAACATTCATGTTAAACTGTATAGCAGCGCAGAGCCATGTTCAAACAAGTTGGAGTGTGTATTATGATAACAACATGCCACAACACAAAATTTACTAAGCCTTAGGCCACATGATCCCATATATCCTAAAAAAAGGCCCATGGATCTCCATGACAGTCCACCCAAAGAGTCTATAAATTTTCAAATCCATTATAATTCTAACCATTCAGGTCGGTGACATACTCTATTCTGTTGAACCAAAATTTTTTCTCTGATTATCTCATTAAGAATACTAAGTTACTAACAAGAGTTTAGTGATGCTAGACTGACATAGCAGCTTTCATGAACTCAGATGCATGAATAGGCAATTGCATATGGTGTTTCATGTGAGCTGGATATTAATAATATAATATATATCTTTGTATAACACTCTCAGAACATACATAAAAAAGCTTACCTCATCGTCGTTAATGTATGGTTCATACCATGTCCACAACGTCTTTGAATCTGCAACATATCTTAAATAAAGGAATCCAACCTGCACATTCAATTCTCTGCGGTCAGATCAAAAGCAATGAACATGGAAAAACAAATCAGACAAGTTATAACAAGGAAACCCACAAAGCAAAAAAAAAAAAAGCAAAAAGTTTGCAAAACCATCGCCATAAAATGCAAGACAAGCATAAATTCCAGTAACCTAAGGACGTATGTAAGCACTATCGCATTAATAAAAAAATAAGACTTCACGTAGATTCTAAAACATTATCAGGAACACCAGGGCCCAACTAAGAGTAAATTAGTATCATAGACAGATAATTTGTCACATTCATTAGTTTCTAAACTGTTAGATGGGTAGAGAGGTGATCCTAGAGAGACAGAAGCTAAATTAGAAAAGACACCTCAAACCTTGATTTGCAGATATTGCTAGCAAAGAAAGATCTTATTTATTTTGGTGGGAACTCTCTGCAACTCTAAGAAAGAATGACATCCCAACAGTGTTTGTGGTTGTGAAAATCTGTTATGAAAACACAAGAACAATTATGTGTACGCTCATACCTTCAATACGGGATGAGACAAGAATAATTTCAGATGGAACCCAGAGGTGTAAGGAAGGCTATTACCTGACTGTAAGAGGCTCTATGAGTAATCGACAAACAAAGAAAACACCTATCTTTTCCGGGTTAAAATTGGCTAATAAGAATATAACTCAGCTGGTAAAAAGTAACAGGAGGAACAGGTATTGGAACAAACAGCACACAATGTAAGATTTCTAGATGTTACTGAAAAGCAAGAAGAAGCCAGAAGATGGAAAGAAATATTCCTAGATTCTACAGAGAAAACCAAAAGACAAGGTTATAGCATCATGGTAGCTCATACTATTATCAAGTTTCCATATAAATTCCCCCACACATATGCTCTACTAGGTTAATAATGGAAAAAAAAAAAAATGGTTAAGAGATTCACCTACCGCTCTAATATAAGGAGAATCTGTGTGCTTCAACAGCCCATGCATCTGCTTCACTGTAAGTTTCATGGTAAAGAATTTGTAGAGAAGACAATAAGCTGATGAAGGACCACGGCAGTTTCCACCCATCCACGGCTCCACATGATTAACTTGGTTGTAGATTTCATCAATTACCTCATGATAAGTCTTTAAACCATAGAGCTCTTTGAAATAGTCAGAAGAAAGAATGTTCATTGAAAGAACCTTTTCCAATAGTGACTCATACGCCCTTCCATTTGTTTGTATCTCCGCCATGTTTTATGAAATTGAAAGGCGCCTACAAGCCAAAACAAAACCTGAAACAAAAATTCAACACATTAGGCAATACAACAAGCTAAAGCTTGAAACTTTTGTACCCATACATATAAAATCCTGAAAACCCAACTAAACGAACTATAATCACAGATGTAAAAAACGAAACCCTAGAATTCGCCGAAGCAATAACTACGTCAATCTCAGAATTAAACCGTAAAGGAGTTTAATTTTGTCAACCCCAGATAAGAAAAAGTGTAATTCGATATCAATTTCTTAAGGAACTAGCAAAATCAAATCGATCAAGGTAGAAACAAGTCGAATCTGTGTATAAGCAAAACGAACTTAATTATCGAGAAGCTTATCAAAATCGAAAGACATAGAAGAGCGAAACCTGAAATTTTTGCGAACGGTGTTGGCGATTAGAGGATTCAAGCTCGAGAGCCGAGAGAGGTAGAGGACACCAAAAAGAAAGCCCTAGGCACGGCGATCTCGTATCAGAGTTTTCAGATAGAAGCTGCTTCTACATTTAATTAGGGAAACTTTCGAATATGACCTTATATTATCGCGTATTTTCACATTTTACCCAAATATTAAAATATTTACAATTTTTGAAATATCTATTTCTCTCTTGATTAGTATAACCTTATATCGTAGTCACTAGTTCTGAATCGATGTCTTTTGATGACAGATGAGTTTTGATTGGTGTGATAAAGATGAGTTTTGTATAACAACTTAAAACGAACAGAGAAACTGGTTGTACATTTGAGGATTCAATCTAAGCATTCGCTCAAAAGGTAGTAGGCTCTTCGCTTTCCTCAGCTGGTGGGATGAGTTCATAGAAACTTGAGCATTTGATCCGTGAGACCGTCTTTCTTGTCCTTCGAGGAGGTCACGCAGGCAACATGACAGGCGCACAAGCTATTACGTATTTCAGAATGCCCTCGCCTATTATGGGGAGCATGAAGGAGTGAGAGCTGTATAAGTTAGCCAGATGCAGAACGAGTTGCAGCTAGTCCGCTTCTTAGTTGACTTGTTCGTGCTAGACATGAATGAATACGCCTGATTCCTTGAAGCAACTTGTTGTTGGGGAAAGCGAAGCAATCTTTTAGATCACTAAAACATAGCATTTACTTAAGAGTCATGAACCGAAGTCATCGTTGCTAGCTACAACACACCAAATTGACACAACACTGAGTCTGTTTTGAAAAATTTGGAAAGCAGTTTGTGTCGTCTGCCCAAAAAGACTCGACTCATCCCTCTCTATAATGTTAGAACCAAAACACTACCAACTGACCCAACAATACAAAATATATCCTAGTGACTGGTTATAGCCTGGAGAATCCATCAACCACAATTATGCCTACATAAATCAAACCTCCCTTGACCGGGTCAGATCGCTAGCGCGGCTTTACTTCTCTTGTTACATCCTCCTTGCTAATCCTTCTCGGGGTTCTTCTTCTAGGAGACAGCTTGTCCGCTATCTCTTTGGTTCCATGTTCTAACTTTCTCATGTTTTTTCCCGTTTCACCAGTCACATAGTACGTGACCTGTCTTCCACTAGAGGAACATATATCAGTTTCTCCATACACTTTCCTCTTTTTAAGCGAACTACCAGAAGCACACGAATCAGTTGTGCTCTTCCTTTTCGAACTCTTCTTTTCTCTTCTCGCGGTTGCTTTTGCCTGCTCGCGATCTTTCTTTACCTTCTCATAAGCCTGTTGAACCACACTTGCAGCATGAGCTGCACTGCTAGTTCTTGAGAAAGTCCACTTGGAGTTATTAAATAAACCTGAAGTAGTATTGTGGTTTGCAGCCGACTTTGGATCCAGGTTTCGGTTTAGACGGCTGAAACTACTCCAACGGCTTGATATACCTGGTTTAGGGACTTCTACTGCCAAATACGACTGTAGGCAATTAGGACACCGAAGGTTACAGTTGACATAAAGTCTTAGATACTCGTACTGCATCATGCATCTCCTGCAGACTGTCCAGAAAGTATTCGACTTTGATTGGTCTGACGACCCAGATGCAGTAAATGAGCTTGGTGTTGTTGTTTGATGATCAGTCCGTCCTGTTTTCTGTGTATTACCAACTGGCTTTTGCGGATTGTTCTTCTGGGTCGGTGGATTGCTCTTCTGGGCTGGCGGATTTTTCTTTTGGGTAGGCGGATTGTTCCTCTGTGTTGTCGTCCTCGCATTTGTAGTGAAGGTAGTCTTTGCGAAATTGCAGAACCCGTTATTAGAAGATGAAACCGAGACCTTCTGATAAACTGAGTGGAGACTTTTCCTACGATCATAAGCTGCTCTGTTTTCCTTATCTGACAAGAATTTCCAAGCTTCAGAAACAAGCTTGAAAGCTCCTTCAGCTCCAATAGACTTGTTTTTATCAGGGTGAAGCATTAGAGCAAGCTTCCTGTAATTTCTCTTCAACGTTTCATTATCATCGCGCGGACTTGCTTTGAGTATCCCATACCAGTCTACATCCTCTTTTACTTTGTTTTCTGCAGCGGTATACACATCCAAAGTTGCCAACATCTGAGAAACACCTTCTATCTCTGGATACAGACTTTGAGCTTTCAAGGCAAATTTCTTTGCCCCAGCAATATCTTTCATTTTGAACTTCGTCTCTGCAATTTCTTTTGCCCTTGCTGCCTCGTCTTTGTTGCACTCCATGCCTGTCGTGTATCCTTATCATTCAATGTTTGTAATGAACAAGTTACTAAATTCCAAAGAAATACTCCAAGATCTGAGAGATTTGCCAATGCCAAGGCTCTGTTTTGCTTCAAGGAGGGCAACTTTTCTGGCTAAAACAACAACAAAAAGATAGATATAGAGGTGTTAACATATGTGGGATTCAGATAAACGCATCACAGATATTATTTTAGTACCATTTTAATGTCATATACTAACATGTTACATGTCAATGGTTCACTAAAATCATCTTCTACACATATGCAGCCTAGCTATCAAAGATCTGTTACCTATGGTAATTTCCACTAACACATACAAATTAACATGTGAAACAACCAAGCAAACCAGAGGCACAAAACTAAAACCTAGGCTACGAGAGCAAAAAACACATGAACTCCACAAACCAGAGGCAACTATTTACCAAACTAAGAACCCAAAGTTCACGAGATTTAGCAGCTTGAGGAGATAAAAAAAACGAAGCTGTTGGTACTATGAAACTCAAACATAAAACTTCTCAAAACCCAGTTGACAAAAGAAAAAAAAAAAGAACTTCTCAAAACGCTTTCAAGCTACAGAGTAAACAGAACAACATAAATCAACAAAAGGAAACATAAAAAGCTCTTAATCAAGCGTCACTGAGAAATTAACTCTATACATCAATGAACAATCTTCAGAAGTATCAGAATCATACACAAGTGAAGCTCAAATTGGCTACAATGTGTGTGGCTCAGCTTTTTTTTCACGGAAATTTGAAAAACCCCCAAAAAAATGTAGAAAAATCCAAATAAATCCAAGCGTAAATAGCGCAAATCGAATCCTAGATTCATCTTAAAAACCCTAGAAACCTCGCAAACTTAAAAACCCTCACAAAATTTTCGATTCGATACTGATTCAAAATCTACAAAACCTAAAGACAATGTCGAAATTTGTAATAATCAGTCGATCAATCAATCAGGAATCATATCAAATGCAACGTGAAGAGCAACGAAGGAAACACCTGAAAACTCGAGAAACTGTGAACGCGGATTTGGGGAAAGCTTTGAGGTCAAAGACTCAAAGATGACGAAGAAGAAGAAGAAGATGCGACGAGAGGAAACGCTAGAATTTCACACCACCACAGTTGCGTTTCAGAATTTTTCCACTGCGGCTTAAAGTTTTATATTTATCTTTGGAGATTTTTAATATAACCCCTTATTATATATTATTTCACAGAAATGACCCAGAACTTTGGAATTGGAATCTATGGACTAAGCCACACTTAAATGGTGTGATAGAACAGGTGTAGGGATCTCTAATTTCTTGTCCAATACATTATACATTGATATAAGGATTTCAAATATTGAGATGTTTAACTATATTTATTCCAAATGAACAAAAACAACCCAAATGACAAATTTGATTTGAAAAGTAAAGTAAATATTATAGTTTTTGACTTTTTGTAAAGTTTTATCTTCATCGGATATTTGAAGAAACGGAAAATAGATCCGAATCAAACAAAATAAGAAAAAGAATCGACTAGAGATGTTCTTTTCATTAAAAATAAAAAAAATATTGGAATTTGAAGAACGGTTATTAAAATGAGATCACTCTCATATATTCCGGTTTAAAAAGGACCGTATAAATGTTATATTGATGTAACTTTAGATTTTTAATATGTTCGATTCGAGGAGTTATGAAATTTTCTCGTATGAGAAAGATATTTGCAAAAGGTTTAACGCAGAATAAGTAAATCGATCTAAAACAAACCGAATCAAAAAAAATATATAATTTGAGAATGAAACTCGATTTAACACAATTACATAGGTTAATTTTTTGCTGTATCTTCAAAACAAAAGTTGGATCCAAATCAAACTAGAATAGACCGTAATTAATTGGATTATAATTGAAATAATTGAATTAAAAATAATAACAATCAAAACTAAATTAAATCTTGTATAAATCGGTTGAAAATAGACTGAGTCAAGTGTAACATATTGTAATTTTAGGTCTTTTGCCTCTCAATTAGATAGAATTATGAAATTCTCTGTTTGTTTTCAAATGAAAAGGAATTTACTGGGAATATGCAATTTGATATTAAGTAAAACTGATACAAAACAAATCGAATCAAGAAACATAATTTTTGTTTAAGAAACTTTCCACTGCAGCAAAAGTTTTATATTTATCTAGGAGATTTTTAATATGACCGTTTTATTATCTACTGTTTTATAGAACTGACCCAAAACTTTAGGATATGAATCCTTATAATCTTAACAAAGTGTACTGTTAGAGCACCAACACCTCTTTACGCATATGTTGTGATAGAACCAGTGTAGATCTATACTTTCTTGTCAACAGAGTGGTATAAGAGAGAAGTTAATTAGATTTGTTCCCATCGATTATAATTTTATTTGAAATTGAATGTTATCTTTCATTTTTTCAATATTCGAAGAAACGAATATTGAATCTGAATCAAACAAAATAAGAAAAAGAATTGACTAGAGATGTTCTTCTAATTAAAAATAAAAACGTATTGGAATTTGAAGAACGGTAATCTAAATGAGATTCTCGTATACTTGGTTTTAAGAGGATCGTGAAAATGTTCTATTGACGTAACTTTAGATTTTCAATCTTCTCAGATCGAGGGATTATGAATTTTCTTGTATGAGAAAGATATTTTCAAAAGTTTAACGCGGATTAAGTTAATTGATCTAAAATAAACCAAATCAAAAAAATATGATTTTATAATTAAACTTAGTTTTAACACAATTACGTAGGTTACTTTTCTTATATCTTTAAAACGAAAGTTGGATCCGAATCGAACCAGAAATATAATAATTGGATTAGAATTTACAATTGCGTTAAAACAAAGAAGTATTTGAATTTTATTTTTTAAAAGTAACAGTCAAAATAAGACTGAATCTTGTATATATCAGTTTAAAATAGACCATGTCAAGTGCCGCATATTGTAATTTTAGATTTTTTACCTCTCAATTAGATATGATTATGAAATTCTCTATTTGTTTTCAAATTAGTAGGATTTTTCTAGGAATGTGTAATTTCATATTAAGTAAATCGATACGAAACAAATCGAATAAAGAAACCTAATTCCAAAACTAAATCCATTGTTGGGATCGCTATAAAATCCTTTTTATTTGAAAAACAAAAACTAGAGCCGAATCAGTTAAAAATAAAAATATTGTTGCCCAAATTTTTTTTTGTCAACAACTATAAATGATCGATTCAAACGAGCCACATATGTGGAATATTTTTTTACAGAAAGACTAAAAAGCGGTTCAGTATGTATTTTGCGTGCCAAATTATCCGTTAACATTAGCTTGAAAAAATATAAGAATCAACAAAAAAGACGAGAAAACTCCCTTATCGGCTTGAATCTCTTCTAAGTATGTTGAAAAAGTTGGCTAGTCTGTTGGAAAAGACACCATCTTCATCATATATGATCATTCTGCTATAAATGTCACATCTCTCCTAAATATTTCAATCATACACTTCATCGCCTATATTAGTACATCCACCTTTGTGTGTAGTGAAATCAGCCCGGATATATTTGATTAAAAACATAACCAAATATAAGACGCAGATCAATTTAAAGCATATAGGGAAAACCGGAAAAGTATCATATAAATACAAAAGACAAATTAGAACTAGAATTATTGCAGAATTTAGAAACTCTTTTTTTTGCTATCAAAGACAAACTTAACTTAAATTAGAATTAGTTTCTTTGACCTTTAAATTAGAATTATTGAGGAATTTAGAAACTCTCTTTTTTGCTATCAAAGACAAACTTAACTTAAATGCTTTCATTGGCTTTCATATGACAAGGGGATGCTTTTGAGACAAGAATATTTTCTAGGTGATCCTAGAAAGAAAAAGAAGAAAGGAAGGGTATGTCTTCAAAGATTCTCATGCAATATTCTCAGAATTGGAGACAACGTGACATGTTGAGTAACCAAGGTGGGAGAATGTAGAAACCTGTGCATCCCAATAACACAGCATAATGTAGTCTACACTTCGTGGTTATAAAATATGATTATATGAAGCTTTATGCTTCCACAAATTTTTATAAACAAATCAAATTCCAAGAATCTAAGGAGAAAAACAATATCATATCTTTCGAATATTTCTAACTGGTTGTCTACCTCTTGAATATAAACACTGTTACCACCATACTTGTATATTTGACTTTGGAACGTATATTACCTCTCCATTACATTTTTTCCAACTATTAATCTCGAAGCAAAAAAGAAAAAAGAGAAAACGAATCGCAATGAAGAAAATAAAATCCCACAGTGTTAAGAATTAAGATCTTGTTGATGAATTGCAATGAAATAAAAAATTTGAATAACTAAGAAGTTCAAAACCAAATCTCATACATTCTCTTTAGTCCCGGCCTAAAACCCGTAAAACCCTCATATATGGGAGTCCGGTCCGGTCTACCCCGAAAAATATCCGAGCCTATATTTCAAAGTCTGGCCCGGTCTAACAGGGATTTTCGGGGTTTTTGGGCTTTACTTATCGATAAAAAAATAAAATCAATTTCTAAGTTCATAATAGTTTTTTAAAAACAATATTTAAAGGTTTACTGTTAAAATAATACATCAAATTTTAAATAACTTATCAATATTCAATAAAACTAACTTAATTTAAGAGGAAAAAATGAAAACCAAATAAATTATTTACACTTTAACCCAATAAAGCATGAAATTAAAATACTTTAAAGTAGATGATAGAGTCAAAATTTAATATATATTTTGATAATTTCAAAATCAAGATACTTATATATACTTAGTTTTAGCTTTGCTCAGTTTTGACATATATAAATAATAATAAAAATATTATAAATAAAGATTTTAAAAGTATCAAGTAAGGCTAATAAGTAAATATGAAAACTAATTCATTAATCAAATTTTCTAATCAAAATAAAATATTAAAACATTTAAAATATATTTGTTTAAGGGCTTTTTGGGCCGGTCTGGGCCCGATAGGGTTTAGCCCAAAAAACCCTTTAACCCTTAGCCCAAAAGGCCCGGTTTTTTCTGGACATATATATTTAAGCCCGAGCCCGATGTTTTTGAGGGCCGGGCCAAACTAGCTCGCGAGCTTTAACCCTAATTGACATGCCTATATATATATATATATATATATGAACACTAAAAAAATGTCAAAAGCAACACAACTTGAACAAATCTATTGGATGGAGAAACAAAAAGAGAAGAAGAGAAAAGTCTCGTCCTTTCCTATAGATCTAACTTCAGAGATACTCTTAAAGCTGCCTGAGAAATCTATTGCGAGGTTTCGTTGCGTGTCAAAGCTTTGGTTATCAATCACCACCGATCCATATTTCATCAAGTTGTTCGAAACTCGGAACTCACGTCCATGTCTTTTGGTTTGCTTCGTCCAACATGGCAAGTTATTTGTTTCCTCGATTCTTCAGAACTCTAAAAGGTCGTCGTACTCTTGTTCTTCTCAACCTATTGATCTTTACCATTTCAAATCCCCAATAAACCATATCTTGCCCCCTACGGAATCTGTCCAAGGCTTGTTTTGCTTTCAAGAATCAGCAACCCCTATAGTTTGTAACCCTAGCACGAGAGAGATCTTAACTTTACCAAAACCTAGAATGAGCTGGAAGAATGTAACAGTTTTTTTAGGATACGATCCTGTTGGAGGTGAACACAAAGTAATGTGCATGCCTTATGAAACAAGTTCTGATACGTGTCGTGTCTTAACATTGGGATCTGCTAAAAAACTATGGAGAACAGTCAAAACTGAACCTAGTCATTGTTCTACCTGTCATACTAGTGGGAGATGCATCAAAGGAGTCGTATATTATACAGCCTATGTTTATCGTACCCGTGTTTGGGTTATAATGAGCTTTGATGTCAGATTTGAAAAGTTTGGTATGATTCATTTACCATATGATCGTGTTCATATGTATCCGCTCATAGCTTATAAGGGGACGTTAGCTTTTGTTATAACAGAGATCACGAACACGAAGGATGGTAAGAAAATTACACTATGCGTTTTGGAAGATGTAGAGAAACACAAGTGGTCGAGTAAATGCTTTATTGGGTTTATGTGGCGCATTGGTGAGACTTTGCATTTTCCTAAAGTAATAGGTTGCACTGAGGTTGGTGAGTTTATTTGCGTGATAGCCACGTCTCTAAATACAAATCTATTGTTTTAAGAAGAGCTGTGAAAAAGTCAGATTTAGAGAATCCACAAACGGAATCATCTATTTGCTCGATGCTTCCCCGAATCACGTTGCGAGTCTAATGACTTTGTAACAAGTTTCTTAGTGTTTTTTTTTTTGTCTTTCTTTTTCGAATAACACTTTTTTCTAATGCAAGTATGTTTTATATTCTCATTCACACTTTTTCAGAGCTGTATATATACAATAGTTATCAGTTAAAATATGAATAAGTGTAAGAATGAATGTAGCTTTTTCTTTATTTCATGGTAATATAAATCTCCATAATATTTTTCCAAGAATTGCATAGCTTCTAAATCTTATTTACATTTACTCACTACCAAAAAAAACATCACCATTTCTGACCGATAAGATGGTCGGTTTAGTTTCCGACCACTTTCTAACCGTTAATTGACTGTATAAATTTTAGTTGGAAATCGGTCAGAAATCTCACCGACCCAATTAAATTGTTGGTAATCATCAATCGGAAATTACGGACAAAAAAATCCAACCAATACATCCATTGGTAAGGACCGGCCGCATTCTACACAAATTGACATGTATATTTTTAGACGATAGCCACAGTTTCACTTAGTCCAACGACTTTAGCCTGACCCAATCAAACCCGATTTTGATGGGTTTCGAATTCAACCCAAATCTAAATGCGGTTTAATTCAGAGAGATTGAGATTTGGGTTCGATAACCAAACCCGACTCGACCCGATGCCCGGATTTTTTTAAAAATCAAAAATCAAAAATTATATCAAAATACACTGAATTTAACCGGTTATAACTAATTTTAACCAGTTTTTGAGATATAACCGGAGAGACCCAAACTAAGCCCGACCAAATACCCGACCCGACTCAATTTTTTGCTGGGTTAAATTCGGTAGAGTTATTGAAAAACCGACTACCCGAGGAACCCGGGAACCGAACTCGCCGGGCTAGTTTCATTGATATAAACCGTAAAATACTTCGTGTAGGCTGGAGGCAATCAGAATAAAAACCGAATATTTTCACTTAAAAATTGAATTTAGCACAAAAAAAAATTTCACTTAATTTACGGTTAAGTCCGGTTTATATTCAGATACAGAATTAAATATAACCGCACACACTTTACAAAATCTTCTTAAAAAGAAAAAGAAAAAAAAGATCAGAATCGTTTTCCCGAGAAAGTACGATGACGGAATCTTCGAATTTTCTCCTGCTAGGGAAAACTATTCTTTCTAGGGCTATCCTTGCGACTCCAAGCAACGAAGGCGTAACGTCGCTCATCGAACAAATCTATACCAAGCCTCAAGAATCCGACGAATACAAAGCAGCTCGAGCTCTGTTCGACTTCTGCGTCTCTGCTTTCTCAAATTGCTTAACCCTAAAGCTTCTCAACATCTATAGATTCCATCACGATGACCTAGTCAGACTCAGATCCATCGAGCTTCTTGCCGAAACAGTGAAAGCTCATCGGATCGAACTCTCTCTTGTCTCTGTTCATGAGATCAAACCTCTTTTGATTTCTTGCTTGACAATCCAAAACCCTAAAAGATCTGACTCAGAGATCGTAGAGGTCATCGTTTCTTTAGTGGCTGATAAAGTTGGCGTGTGGGAGGAGATGAGTGATTGTATACTCTTACTTGCTCAACAAGATCCGATTAGGGCTTTTAATGTCTTCATCGAGTTACCATCATCACTCTACGGTGGATCCGTTCACCGTTTCTTGCAGAAGTTTCTTGATGAAGTGTACAAGGTTTTGCTTCGTCCTGTGGAAGATAGAGTTGAAGATTGGGTTCTTGCTTTGAAATCTGCTGTTAAAATGGGGATTCAGCTTATGCATTCTGAAATGAGATTTGATTTGACGAGAGATATACTTCACATTGTTCTGAAATCTGCTTGTGACATTGTGTGGAATGAGAAGGAAGATGTGTTTCTTCAAAGAGGGATTCAATCTCTAGAGACGTTCCTTGCTAAAGACGCAAAACAGTTTAAATGGAACAGTGATCAGTGCAGGTTTGTATCAGAGTTTGCTTTCAAGATCTCAGATATTGGAACAGATACAAGAGAAGCAGCCAAGAAGATCTATCGAATGGTTACGAAACTTGAGAAGTACGTTTACAATCCTGCCTTCAGACTCAGTCCACCTCGGGTTAAAAACCGATATCTTGAAGTAGATTATGACTGTGAAGCAGTGAACAACTATTTGGAGACTTTATCTGCAGTAGAGATCATGAGACTAGTCGCGTTAACTAATATCGATAACAGGTCCAGAGAGATAGCTTTCGCAAGACTCCATGAGTTGCTTTGTGATCATACTTCAGGGGAAGAGGAACTAAGCGTTTCAGATATCAGAGAGCTTCAGCCATTGCTCATCTCTTGTCTTGCAGAAGTAGGAGTACCTCAGAGCACGTTCAAGATCCTTGGCCAAGTGGTGTTCCATGTCTTTTACGAGTTGTATACCTGTCAAGATGACAACTGGTTCGGTCTATGGGACTACATTGCAACAGAATGCAAAACATTCTTCAGACAGACTGTTTATATCTTCCAGTGCTTAACAATGAAGATCTATGAAAAAGAGTTAGTGATCCATGCCATGAACAATCTTCTTCCAGAGATTCACAGAAACCTAAACCCACCACCGAGAGAGGAGCTATTGGTAGATAACACTTGTTGGGTCTTGGCCTTCACAGGTGCCTTTGTTGCAGCAATACACTTGATAGAGATCTCAAGTCACGCTGAACACTTGAAGGTGACTGTGTATAAGATGATAGATTCAGTGAGACAGCTTGTGGAAAGAGGATCAGAAGCTGAGGTTGTGATCAGGAGAAGTTTCATAGATATGGAAAACATTGTGGAGAAACAGTATGACTGTTACACAAGTAATGACTACAGATTCGTTAAGGGTTTGGTTTGGAGGCTTTATGCAATCAAAGGTATGAGTATGGAGAGCAAAGCTGTGTTGTGGAGAATTAATGTGGTTTTGGAGAAAGTGCAGGATGTGAAAGTGCTTCCACAGAGTGAGCTTGATTGGTTGAACCAACCTGAGACTTTAGATAATTGAGTTTTCTATAGTTTGTTGTGTACATGATTCTCAAAATCAACATTTTATATTGAGTTTTTTGTTAACTTTTCACTTAAAACAAAGTGGTAGCATCAACTCTAAATTATAAATCTAATACATAAGAGTAGAAAGAGAGACAAAAGAAAGAAACTGATGATAAGATAATTAAATAAATTGGATCTTACACTTCGAAGAAGCTGCAGGAATAAGCTTCATTAGTTCACTGGTGGGTGGTAAGTACTTATAATCTTGCTCATCCACTTGAACCTTAACTTTGACCACTTCAAGACACTTCAAATTCTCAATGAAATGTCTCATTTGTTTCACTTCTCTATTAGTTCCTCCATATCCATATATCTTTAGCACCTTCACTCGACACGACAATAGACAGTTCTCATTCTTCTTCTGCTCCTCATGAACACAAACACATGCATCCCCACACTCATTTGTGATCTCATGAACAAGACCCTGAAAGGATATCAAACATCAAATTTAGAAAGAAAAAAAAGAACAAGGAGATGATATTTGCTTTACACAAACATACCTTGATGACTAGAGTTTCTAGATTTGGAGATTTCTTGAGCAGAAGTGGCAACACTTGCCAACCGCGTTCCTTATGGCTCTCAAACGATAACTTAACGAGGTTTTTGAATTCGGGCGTAGACTTACAGCAAAAGTGAAACACCTAAATATGATAACATAAACAAAGATTATCAAACTAAGACATGGCTTGAACATTTTGCACACTACAAAACATGAGAGTAGGAAACATACCTCAAGAGAATCAGCAGACAAATGAAGGGTCACAACATTCCTTATAGCTACAATGAGCTTGGTTGCATCTCCCCAATAACCATCATGCTTTGAACGATCATATCTCAAATGTACATCTTCTAGATACTTCCATAATCGAAGATTCAGTCTACATTCGACAAGCGAATCAAACTGAACAACATAATCTTGTCCGACATAACTAGATAAGTCGAGGGACACAAGATTGGGCGTGTTAATGGAAAAGCATGAGTGTTGTCTTCTATCATAAAACCAACAAATAGATATCCTCTGTATGGATGAACCCCAAACATTTTTGACACAATAAGCCGGATAGAAACGTGGTCTAAGAGGATCATCATCACCTATGTTGACTTCCTCAAGCAAAGGGCTAGCAAGGAGGCACTGATACAAACCAGACTCTTCAAAAAACAAGAAACACACTAAAAACAAAGAGAGAGTTTTGAGTGCAGGGAAAAGAACATCTTCCCCTGGAGGAGGACGATGGTTGGTGAAAATGTCCATCAGATAGAGTGAGTTTCACCAGTGTCTTGCTGATGAAGAACTCAGGCTCTAGACAATGAAACTTTGATGAAGACAGATGTAGTTCCAAGACTCCACGTCTCAACGCGTTGTGAATCAGATGGTTTGCGCGAGGCTCCTTTAATAGAGTACTATCATATTTCAAAGTGAACTTCTTGATGGGACAAGGGCTTAGCATGAAAAGGGTTTTATCAATGATATTATATAAGCTTAGGGGATAAGACCAGTCAGTAGCAACTTTGTCTGTCTTGATGTTTGGGAACATGGACTCATCAAATTCAAGGCTGTGAACAAGATACAACAGACTCCTCCAACGCCTTGAGAGAACTGATGTGGAAACAACAGTTTTCGTAGGGAGCAAGGATAAGATCTGACCTAGAACCTCATTTGGTAGGCTGTTTATTGAATTTCCTGAAGCAGTTTCCAATTTTTTTGCAGCCATAGCCACAGAAGCGTACCTTCTAGCTCTTCTATCTGAAAACCAAAGTCCATTAGGGTTAGAAGATAAAAGTAACAACAATTTGAAATATGATCAAACAGAGACAAAACATACACTACTAAGTAACTCATTCATGATAAAAGCAAAGAGAAAAGTCGAAACCGATATGAAACTCGATCAGAAACAAGGAAGCAAACTCGATCAGAGACAGAACAATAACAGAACAGAACTGACCTATAAGTCCTGATTCGGCAGAAGTCGTGAACATCGTTGTGAACATCGTTGTGAACGAAACCTTAATAAGGGGAAAACCATTCGAACCGGGATAATCAACAAACCATATAAACCGAGTTCAAGCCGGTTTACTGTTGAATCTAAAATTACAATACAAATCTTGACTAGTAAACGTAAACAGGAAAAAAATGTTTGGACTCTTCTACAAAAGTTTTCTTCTTGTCCATGTTCAAACAATTTTGTTTTATTTTATTATATTATCGTGATTTCATTTGTTCGATGTAACCGTACTGTTTTATAACAATAACATTTCAAAAATGTATAAAATTAATTGATGAAAAAGTTGTAATGAGACCAGAAGTGTTTCTCTGGTACTTATTTTATGCGAATATGGATTATTTATTTTGACCCAGACTCACATGTTACAATATTTCCTTGATGTGGTATATTTGGAAAGTAAGGAATGATAAAACCTCTGAAAATATGGAAACGGATCCCAGGATAATTCTACAATTGGTAGAGAGCAAGGAAAAAGTTTGGTGTGAAGCTCAAATGGAGATCTTCCCGCATTTGCAAGGATTTTTGGCAAATGAAGTTCTCCCAGATAATTTTCAAGGCTAAAAATGCTTTGTTGACGGATCATGTAAGAGTACTGACAAATTCTCAGGACTTAGATGGTATTATTCACATCCAACAGAACAACGACCAACTATTGGAGCGGCTAACCTTCGCAGAAATCTCTCCTCGTTACATACCGAGATTAAAGTGCTGGTATGGGCAATGAAGTGCATGATGAAAGCTAATAAACGAGACGTGATGTTCGTTACAGACTGCTCAGACTTAGTTAAGATGGTGTTTTTCCAGCGGAGTGGCCAGTTTTTGCAACATGCTTTGACGAAATTCAGAACAACAAAGGAATTTCTCTCAAATTCTGGTTTCTCGACAAGCTAATGTCAAAGCGAACCGCCGTTAAGTTTATATGTAAACAATGTTCCCATAAACTGGCTCATTTGAGCTAGTTATATTATAGTTGTTGACAAAAAAAGTCAGTAATGAGCTTTGTAGTGATAAATGGTGGTGACTTTGGGAATTTTATTCGAAATCCTTGTCATTGTATGACTGAGCCAACTTTATGAACTCTTCGAATATTCGAATTTTTTTTGAGCTTTCTCCCCCTTTTATGATAAGACTATAACTTTCTTTTTAGATTATCTGATTGGTCATGAAAAGACCGTGATTTTGTAGATCATATGAGATGTCGTGGAGCGTCATGTCGATGTACTTTTGGATTTATAGGATAGAGAGAGAGAGATAAAAGATGCATAATTCTTATAAATGACTTAATTGTTTTAGTATATTCATAATCCCTACTATAGTAAAAGAGAAGTACACAAGGGATTCGGGTCAGGTTTTTCAAAAAATCCCGGGTTAAAATTTCAATCGGATACTTGCCAAATGTTTTGTTAAATATTTTCCAAATATTTCAATAATATACACCAGATTCCTATCATTTAGGAAACTATATTAATGTTACATTATTATATATTAGAAAATATATTAATGGTAAATAAAAAATATGTCTTATAAGGAAAATTTGTTTATGAATATAAAGATCTCAATCTTTTAAAAATATTCTAATTATTATATTAATTTCTTATATGAATAAAACAAAAATATATAATTTTTTATAAGTTTATATCTTTGATATATAGAAAAAATATAATTTAAAAATATTTGGTATAACAAATATAAAAATGCATCTAAAATACATAAATAATGGTAATATAATCAATAAAAATGTTAATTAGTTTGAATTAGTTAAATGTTTTGAAAAACAAAATTTGAATATATATATATATATATGGCTATAAAATGAAATATTTTATTAAATTAGTGTGATGTTTATAATATATTAAATCTTTATTATTATTTTTTATTTTTCCTAATATGTTAAATGAAAGATTTTAATCAGAATAAAAAATAGAATATGAACAGAGGTTTCAAAATTATTCCAATCTTTATCAATTTGAATTACCTATAAAAAGAATAATATTTTATCAGTAGCATAATTAATGCAAAATTATAGAGATCCATATATATATATCTAGAAATGGTTATATTTGAATTTTGAAAAAAAACATTTTTGACAATCATTAATATATTTCAATGAGTCATACGAAAATATTTTGGATACAAAAAAAATAATTAAAATTTAAGGATAATGATTATAATTAAGTAAAAAAATACTTTAATAACAATATTTTATCTTTCTAATTATTAATCATTGAATCACTACTAATACAAAATCAGTCATAAAGAATATATTCCATAAGTTAGTTTAAATAAATTACCTTAAATTCTGAATTTTCCTTAAAATGTTCTAAATATATATATATATATATATATATTAAATTTAAGGAAATCCCTTAAAATGTTTTACAAGCTGAATGTGTTTTCTATAAGAATTCAATTTACTAACTTACAAACCCAAAAAATCGACACCCTCTCCTCACAATATAAAGTCATACATTTGTTGAATAAAGATATCAATTTTTTCTTTCCAACCTTTACATTTTATTTTGAGTTTTTTCCTATGATTTATCGTTTAATATTTTTTCTTTTTTATCGTTCACTATTTTAGTTTATGGTCTCTTATTCAATATGATGTATATTAATATTTTTATTTTATTGTTATAGGATACAAGTATATACAAATCTTTCAAACTCATATGTTTTTATGTGATACATGTATATACAAAATTTCGTTCAATATTATACATTTTCATGATTCTTTTTAAAATACACGGGTTTTTGCTGATTGGTTTGTCACCACATACATTGTGAGTATATAATTTGTTTAATAAACGTCTTTTATGTATTTTATTAAAATATTATATTTAATTTCCGAAAACACACTTTTCTCAAAGAATTGAAACCAAAAGTACATTTCGAAATAATAGTTGTTGATACTAAAATAAACAAAATAATAACACATACGACAAAACACGTTAAAATAAAATAAACTTGAAAATATTCTCTCGCGTTGTAGCGCGGGTCTGAACCTAGCATAGGTGACAAAGTACATATCTACGATAGTACATATTCTCATACTTGCCAAATTCAACACCAACAATCCATTTTAACAATTAAAATTTTACGTAATTCGGAAAAAACAAAAACCGACACTTTTCCCCCGCGCTATAGCGTGGGTCCGGGCCTAGTTTATAATAATATAACTATAGAGAATTCTTTACTTCAGTAATCAGTATGGTGAAATCTATGCCATAAAAATGAAATAAGAGTAAGCTTGATTGTTTTTCAGTATCCCTATATTAGTACATGAATAACAGCGGATATAGATGGAGAGAATGAGAGGCATAAGTTATTTTTTGGGTTTCTTAAATGGGTTAGAAATTATGAGTGGGCTTTTACAAAAAGATATTAGTGCCAATGGCACTCTTCACAACGTTCAATAGGACACCAAGTTTTAAGGTCAACTTCTCCTCACTAAATTATTTCCATGTGTTTAATTTGGTCAACAAAACCATCAGTTCGCCTTTTAAAAAATAATCCAATCTCACATGTTTAGTTTAAATATTCCAAAAAACTTTGTTTTCAGTTATCTGGTTTTGTTATACCTTTGAATTCTCCCTTATTAATCGTTACTTAAATATATAGTCAAGTGCATGTTCCACTATATTTTTGATTAAAAGGCCGTTTATGACTGAAACATTGACCTATTTTCTACATATGTATTATATTTTACTTTAATTACTGAAACGTTTCAACATTTTCTTTGCAGTGCTCTATAATTCACTGTTTCATCCCAGCTGCACGTGCCAGCCAGTTTCGGAATGTTTTACAAGAAGGTGTAATTTTTTTTGTAGCTGGGTGGGAAGGTGCACTAACCCTCTACAAGATTACAGATCACCCATTTGTCATCCGTTTCTTACCATCAACAACCATTGCTGAAGTGGCCCATGTAGTGCCTACAATAGAAAGAGAAAAATTTATGCTTCGCAAAGCAGATCATCTCCAAGCGCTTGCAAACACCAACCTTGAACTACCAGGTTCGAAAAAAAAAAACTCTGCTGCCTCATTAAAACAAAACTAACTATTGTCCAATATATGTATTTCGTAGACGTGGTGGGCCAAATAAGATTTGTCCAATGCTCAAATCTTGAAGATCCAACATCCTCACAACGTCTGGTTGTCCGTTTTATGTTGGATACGTATGTATTCTAAATCTCTAACCAATTTGATAATGGCGGACATAGAGGAAGAGAATGAGAGACATAAGCTATTTTTTAGGGTTTCTTTAATGGGTTGGAAAAGTAGGTGTGGCCTTTACAAAAAGATATTAGTGCAAATGCCACTCTTTACAACGTTTATAACGACACCTAGTTTTAAGGTCAACTTCTCCTCACCATCGGCCCAAAACCCACCAATGTTTTTGCCACTAAAAATACCCTATAAATGTAACATTTGTTAGAGTGTTCGGTCCACGAATATTATAAATCAAGAGTAAATCTATGATATTTTCGATATTGTTATTATCTCACAAGTATTAATTTTACCTCATGGTAAAATAATTTCAAATGAGTAAAAATGTATAAAATAAAAAATATATATAGTTAAATAAATATTTACATCAAATAATTGAACACTCATACGTACAAAATTATTTGAAAACCAAATTTATTTAATAAGATGAGATTTTACATCATTTATAGCATGGTTTTTATTATAAAATATATGAGTTTTTTTGGAAGAGAGAGAGAGAGAGAGAGAGAGAGAGAGAGTAGTTTAGTTTTTAGTACTACTTTCCTTTTA